CTAACCTCTTTTATTTATTTATGTATGTATATATGTATGTATGTATGTGTGCTGAGGATTGAAACCAGGGCCTCACCCATGCTAGGGCAGTGCTCTACCACTGAGCCACAACCCCAGCCCCTAATGCCCTTCTTTCTTTCCATTATAGAGCAAAGTTTCTGGCCTATATAATTTTATTTCTCTCTGAAGAAATTTTCAATGTCTTTCAAGTCAGATCTACTGGCAACAAATTCCTTCAAGCTTTGATTATCTGAGAAAGTCTTTATTCCATTTATACTTTTGGAGAATAATTTCACCATGTTAAGAATTGTAAGTTCACAGTGTCTTTCTCTGTATTTCACTCCACTCTTCTTCCTTGCATGGTTTCTGGGTAGAAAGTGGGTATAATTTGTATCTCTGATCCTCTGTAAATAAGGTGTTTATCCTCTGGCTTCTTTCATGAATATTTTTAAAATCTTCTCTTTTCTTTAGTTGGAAAATTACATACTAAGATGTATTGTTTTGTTTGTTTGTTTGTTCACTTGTATTTATTCTGGTTGGTCTTCCGTGAGCTTCCTGGATCTATGGTTTGATATGTGACATTAATTGGGGAATATTATGTCATTATTGTTTCAAATATTTCTTGGGTTCCTTTCCTTTCTTCTTTTATTTTTTCAGTCTTTGCTTTTTAGTTTGAAGGGTTTCTATTGCTATATCTTCAAGCTCAGAAATTCTTTCCTCAGCTATGTCCTGTCTACTAATAAGCTCATTAAAAGCAATCTTCATTCTATTACTGTGTTTTTGATCTCAAGTATTTCTTCTTGTTTTTTTCCTTAGGATTTTCCTCTGTCTGCCCACCTGTTCTTGAATGCTATGTACTTTATCTATTAGTACACTTAGCACATTAATCATAGCTGTTTCAAATTCCCTATTTGATAATCCCAACATTCCTTCTATGTTTGGTTCTGATGTTTACTCTTGTCTTTATAAAATGTTTTTGTGATTTTTAGTATGTCCTGTAAATTTATCTTTATAACTGGACATGATGTACTTGGTCAAAGTAACTGGTAAGTAAGCCTTTAGTAATGTAATAGTAAGATATGAATGGAGGTAAAGTGTTCTATAGTCTTATATTACATTTCAGTCTGTTAGTGATTGTATGCATCTGGACTGTAAATTTTATCAGTACTCCTTGGCACCCTCCTTCTATCCCTTAAGTGGAACAGGATGTCTAAAGGAGGATGGAGTTGGGCATTTTCCCCTTCCCTTAGGTGGGTCAGTCTCTGAGAAAATTCCAGCATGATAAAATAATTTTTCCTGAAGGTAGACCTTGTTAAGAACAGAATGCTCTGGAGTATTTCAAAATGGGATATTTTCTCTCTTCCTGCCAAAAGCATGAAGAGATTTTTCTCTAACACTATATCCACTGTGAGGGTCTGAACGAACTCCTGGAGATAAAACACATAAAAGCATGGGGCTCCCCCTATAATTGGTCCATCTAGTTTTTTTTTGTGGGGAGTGCCAGAGATTGAACTCAGGGGCACTCGACCACTGAGCCACATCCCCAGCCCTATTTTGTATTTTATTTAGAGACAGGGTCTCACTGAATTGCTTAGTTCCTTGCTTTTGCTGAGGCTGGTTGTGAACTTGAAATTCTCTTGCCTCAGCCTCCTGAGCTACTGGGATTACAGGTGTATGCCATCACAGCCGGCTCCTATAGTTTTTAACTCTTACATTTGTTCATGCTGAGTCTCTACCAATTTGTTAATTATAGTTAAGGTTTTCCTCTCTCAGTACTGGTTTCCACTGAAGTTTTTGTTTGTGAGTTTCTGCTCCAGTTAGTTGTGATTCTCTGTATCTACCTGTCTGACTCTCTAATTTGGGGGGCATCAGTTTACCCTGTGACCTCACTTCTCTGATGAATCAAAGAGGGGATATTGATTTTTTTCACTGTGTTTGGATTTTTTACTTGTTAGGATGTAGCAGAATTATTTATTTATTTATTTTTGCAGGACAGGGAGAGTGGTGGTTTGACCTAGCTAGGTTTTCGTGCATGCCAGGCAAGTGCTCCACCACTGAGCCACATCCCCAGTCCTTTTTATTTCATTTTATTTTCAGACAGGAGCTCATTAAGTTCCCTATGCTAGCCTTAAATTTGTAATCCCCCTGCCTTAACCTCCAGAGTTTCTGGGATTACAGGCATGTAGCACTGCACACAGCTTCTGGAGTGATGGTTTCTAAGCTCCTCACATGCCAGACCAGAAACTGGAAGACTAAGCAATAATTTGAAATATGGTGCTTCACTGATGAAATACCATTTAAGCTGAAGAATGAATGGGAGTTGACTAGAGTCTGATAAGGGAGGAGTTGTTTGGTAGAAGGAAGATGTCAGGGAGCAGAAATATCCCAGCATGACCAGATAATGCATCATTCAAGTCAGGGAGTCTTGAAAAAAAAAGGGGAACTCCTAATGATTATGGTAGTGGAAGAGGACAGACCAAACCTTTCTTGGGCAATATGGGGTGTATGATCACCCTACATTTGGGGAGCTATAAGAAAGCCAGAATGAAGAAAGTGAAGTGTGTTTGGGTGTTTGAGAGTTGTAGCTGGTTGTTACTTGTAATCAGATGGCCTTGAGAAGCTACTTAAAAGTTTTAAGCATGGAAATGAAAATATCAAGCTTACAATTTGAAAATATGGATAGGGTAAGTGAAATAACAAGGTGAACACATTAGTTAAGAGGTGAATATGGCTTTGATCAGGATGGTGGTAGCAGTGGAGATAGGATTTTGAGATACATAGTCTTAGTGATGAACTGATTATAGAGATGAAATGAGAGGGGGGTGTTAAGAAGCATTGTAGGTATTTTTTTTTCCCTAGAACTGATCAGACCATTTTTTTTTTTTTTTGGCAGGGTCAGGGGGTTACTGAGGATTGAACTCAGGGGCAATCAACCACTGAGCCACATTTCCAGCCCTATTTTGTATTTTATTTAAAAGATACGGTCTCCCTGAGTTGCTTAGCACCTTGCTTTTGCTGAGGCTGGCTTTGAACTTGCAATCCTCCTGTCTTAGCCTCCTGAGCTGCTGGGATTACAGGCACGTGCCACCGTGCCTCCTGGCTCAATTAGATAATTTTATGCCAAGGTAATCAGCACCCCAGTAGAGCAGGTTCCTGCTAAGAGGTGTAAGTTGCCTGGGAAAATATAAAGCCTGGAATAACAGTAAGAAATAAAGACAAAGCCAGAGATTAGATTTAGAAAGCAGGGTATCTGATGGTTCTTCCAGCTCTGATAGGAACTGGAGCTGAACAACTGAAAAAGACCCCAATTCCTTATTTAAGGGGAAGTACATCAAAGTCAGGAATATGGTTTTAGTGTGGAAGGGGTCTTGTTTCAGTATAGCAGGGATCTTTAGTAAACAGGTTGTTTGGTGCTTGGCAGGTTTTGCCCATTTCTGGACTACTTGTATTTGATCTTAAGGTTGTGAGTTAAGGCAGGGTTCCAGCATGATCTGGGCTTTCTCAAACCAGGGAATTCCACCCAGAAGTTTCAAGAAAAGCAGCTTCCCTGCCTTATGTTGGCTCAAACAAACCCATAATTCACATATTGTTTCCAACAGACCGTGATATCGTTCATGGATTTAGGGAGGAATGAAAGAGGACCAGGTTTATAAGGAAGGACAGGATGTGATGTGTGGAGATGCTTTAGTGAGATATTGGTGTTGAAGATCTGGAGCTCAGAGAAGAAATAAGACATATCCTGGAAGGCATAAATTTGCAGATGGTAAATAAAACCACTGAGAATAGAAAAGGGTCTAATATGGGGCTGGGGATGTGGCTCAAGCGGTAGCGCGTTCGCCTGGCATGTGTGTGACCCAGGTTCAATCCTCAGCACCACATACAAACAACGATGTTGTATCCACCGAGAAATGGAAAATAAATATTAAAAAACTCTCTCTCTCACTCTCTCTCTAAAAAAAAAAAAAAAAGGGTCTAATATGGAGCCTTAAGGTTCATTTAGATACTGGGACAAAGGGAAGGTCCCAAAGGAAAAATGCAAAGAAGTAGCAGGTGAGGGAAGAAAAATAGAGACTATGATATCATCAATGCAAAGGGAAGAAACTGTTTTAAATAGGAAGAAGTGGGAAACAGTATAAAATAAAATACTGTTGACAGATAAATGAGAATTGACATGCAGTTATGGTTTGGCTCTGGAATGTCCCCCAATGACTCATGTATCGAAGGCTTGGTCCTCAATGCAGCTGACCTTCAGGTAAGGCTTTTGGGAAGTGATTGGTTGGATCATGAGGGCTGTGACATCATCATTGTTCACTGATAGCTGAATACTACTGGAAGGTGGTAGAAATTGTAGGTAGTAGGACATGGTCGGAGGAAGTAGGCCACTGGGAATATGTATGCCCTGGAATTTATTTCTTGTCCTTGATTCTTTCCTGATTCCTGCTCCCAAACCCCCTTCCTAGCTGCTATAGGCTGAGAAAAAACCTTCTTCCATATGCCCCTTTACCATGATGTTCTGCCTCACCTCAGTCCCAAAGCAAGGAGCCCACTGACCATGGACTTCTGAAACTGAACCAAAATAAATCTATTGTCCTAAGTGATTTTTCTCAGAATGAAAAGCTAATACAAATGCCCACTAGATTTAGTGACAGAGAGGCCTTTTGTAAACATATTTTTTTCCAATTTCAAAGGGTCTTATTTCTTACTACAAAGCATTTGAATAAAATAAAAAAATAAAAAAGAAAAAGAAATAGCTAATTTCACAATTATTTTAAAATTTCAAATATTTAATATTTTCAATGTTATTTATTTTTCTTCATTTATAAAGAAATGTGATATTTTAATGGTGAGATATCCTGAGTTAAATAAATTCATCCTTATAGTAATTATTTTGGAGATTTTTATATCATATAATCCTAAACTCTGTGGTTGGCTACCAAAAAGGCATGCTTTATAGGAGTGCTAATTCTTTAATGACTGACATAATTGTTCACCCATTGTAGGCCCGACACCTCTGCACCTGGCTGCACAGGCTTGCTCATTAGAAACAACAGTCTGTCTACTCTGTTTCAAAGCTGATTACACACTTTCTGAAAAAAGAGGATGGATGCCGATTCACTTTGCTGCTTTCTATGACAACATCTGCATCATCATTGTCCTTTATAGGAAGGATCCTACTTTGCTAGAAGCTGAGGCTACAGCTGAGTAAGTTTTAAGCATTCATAAGAATATAAATTTCTGCTTTTTTCACACACTGACACTATAAGACATGATTGATATGGGTGATTTGAAACATAGGCAAAGCTAACTCTGAAGTCCTTTCTGATCTGATCACTGTCTTTTTCTCCTACCACTTATCTTTAGAATTTAAAAAGATCTTCTGTCAACTTATGTATGCTTTCTGGATGAATAAGGACTGAGCCCTAGGGAGATTTTCCTACTTTATCCTAATAATATGGTTCCACAAATTCATTGATCAGGTTAACTACTTAGTGCCCTGGAGGAAGCCTGAGACTAGGCATTAGAACACTGTTCTAAATTGGACCTTATGCAACCAAGGTAGCCCTTGACTCCTCATGTAAAGGGCAGGGGGATATCTAGTAGTATATGGAAGACAAATACAGTGAAAAAAAAAAAGAATACATCCCAATCTTTTGTTTCACAATTTAGCTGAGAATCAATGTTTGGGGTGGCGGCATAACTTCTTCTGAAGGTACATTCTTGTCTAGGAAACAAGTTAGTATTTTGAATCTCTGAACCTTTTTAAAGTATATTTCATTCATGTTTTTCTATGTCTTCCTAGGTCTAGCCAGTCCATTATTATTCAGTGGCCTCAGGCTAGCATACTGATTTGACAGTTATAAGGGCACTGGCTTCCTCTTGTTGCTCCTTCACGTATGGCTTCCATGGTACACAATGACAATTCCACTTCCATTATTGCCTACATTTTAGCCAAGAGAAGAGAGAAAGAGGAAAAGTATTGGCACATTCCTTTCTCTTTAGGGAGTGGCCCATGTAACTTCCATTAATGTTTTGTTGACCAAACATGGTCATATGGTCATACCTATCTATAAATGAGGTTGGGATGTAATACTGGGCTGGACAGCCATGTGTACAATCAAAAGATCTTTACTATCTAAAAAGCATTGGTGGATTTTTCATAAAAGCTGTTACTTTCTGCTACAATGAGAAAGTTGGGATTTGAAAACTGGAAATGAAGTATGAAGAAATGGCATAACTACTAACTGAGCTTTAGGTTCATCATTTGTGAAATGTGCTAAAAATACTTGACTTCCTTTTCCCTTCACTCAAGAATTTTAGAAAGGATAGTTTATTCTAAGAATTTTGTGCATCATAAACTTTTAAATAAACTCTAAGACTTGATATATATATATATATATAAAATATATATGTTGGGAAGGAGGACAGGGGCCAATACTAAGGACAATTAGTGGAGGCAAACTGTTTGCATGTGAAATATACAGGATGAGAATTCATAAGGAAGAGAAAGAAGGTGTTGGTGTAAATCAGAGTGCCTCCAACAGCACTTGGAATAGCTTAACAAAAATTAAATGACACTATAAGTGTGCTTAAATATTATTCTAATGCATTCCTTGATTTTTAGGAATCAGTGTACTCCATTGCTACTTGCTGCTACTTCAGGAGCACTGGAAACTATTCAATATCTGTTTTCTCTTGGTGCTAACTGGAGAAAAACAGATATTAAAGGAAATAATATAATTCATTTATCAGTGCTAACTTTTCACACAGAAGTACTCAAGTATATAATAGAATTAAATATTCCTGAACTTCCAGTTTGGAGAACTTTAGTAGGTGAGTATAGAATATATAATTTCTTTGTAAATAAATGTTCTAGTTATTTGGCTTAATTATTGATATTTACACAGAAATGAGTCAAATAAAATGATACATATATCATATCTTATATGTTTAAAATAATGAAATAAAACAAATTAAAATCAGAAATAAAAATGCAAATGATAAAGATCTATACTTTTGTATGCTAAAGTAGTTTTATTTCTAAGTTAAAGATCTGTATCCCCAAAAGACTATATTTTACACAATTATTTTTATTTTACAAAGTTCTCAGAAATCAAACCACCCTCTCCTCCATCAAAAAAGTGAATTTTTTAAAAAAGGGAGAAAAGTAAAATTTAAGTGGAAAAGGCTGCTTCTAATTTTTTCCTTAATGCCTAATTTAGAGACAAATTCAGCACACTTTTCATATTTTGGTAAATATTTTATGAAAACTTATGTTTGGAGAAATTTTCCCAAATTTGTAGTCCATCTAGACAGAAATATTATAAGAGAAAGTGTTACTAGACCAGTGCAATGTATACATATAATTTTACTCCTTCTCAAGACCCCAATAAAATTATATGAAGATTAAATAATAATACCACCGCTGGTAGCAGAAAAGCATTCAAGGAAAAATAAGAAAAGATACAGCAGTAGTAAAATGTTAAGATGGTGGAAACATGTACAAGTCTTAGGACTTAGCTGGATAGAGAAAATCATTGCAAGCCAATGATGGAAAAGCAGAGAACCTCTAGAACTTACACCAGTTCCTCAAAAGACTTAAGAAACAGCAGTGCTAGTCAGAAGTGCTCTCCTTATAGCCTAACCAGGAAAGACCCAAAGATACTGAGGCTAGATTCTCCATGAGGAACAGAAGGGAAAAGGACCTGGGAAACTTAGAGTCTGACCCAAGAGAGAAGCAAAGTTAACTTCATGGGTGATAGTAAAGGCTGAAGTTCCAGAATGGAACTGTGCACCCCGCCCTAGAGGGAAAAAGCAGGAGGAATTTGTCAATAGGTAGAAACAATTCTAAGAAAATGAAATAAGAAAATTATTATCTACACTGAGAGATAATAAAAGTGAGAAATGAAATACAAATTATGCTACACTATAACACTCTTCTATGAATAGCATTTATATAGGCATCTTAATGAAGTGCTGAATATTGATTTCATTAAAAGCTATAAATATGATCAAAGGGAAGAAAGAGGAAATGGCAGTGCATTGTTGAAAGAGCTTGTTTCCCTTTTTTCATAAAACATTTGGTAAATAATATTTAAAACTGATACAGCAAAATGTTGCAGTGTGTGGAAATAAGTAAAAATATGGAGATGTGTAAAGAGCAGAAGGTATTGGGAAGAAATCAAAGTGGTAGTAGAAGGTATTGGGAAGAAATCAAAGTGGTTACATTTGGAGAGATGAACTCCCCCCCCCGAAAAAAAAAAAAAACACAAGGAAGATAAGGCCACAAAAAATATTTTGTTACAGGCCTTTTAGTAACATTTACCTGTAAATCATGAGTATGAAATAAAAACACATTAAAGCAAAAATAAAATAATTGTCAGTAAGGCCTCATTTTTCCCCCCAATACTTTATATATATAATCTTTAGTGGGACAAATAAATTTAAGATTTTCAACCCTATTTCCCTGGTTTCAGAAGTCTGAATATCTGGTTTCAAAACTGGCTTAGTACCAATTTTAGAATTTGCTGGGTAACAGGAACATATTCCAAGTATATCAACCCCAAGAGATGCTGGAAAAGTTTTCAGTGTTTATTTATATGCATATATCATTATATATCATTCTTTTATTATTTACTTATTTATTTGTGGTGCTGGGGATTGAACCCAGGGCCTTATGCAAGTGAGGCAAGCACTTTGCCAACTGAGCTATATCCCCAGCCATCTCATTCTTTTTAGAGAGAGGACTATCTTGTTATTTTTAATAGACTAAACCATTGCAAATACCTACCTTAATAGCAGGAAATTTGGCTCCTAACAAGAACAGATTAATGACAAAAAAAAAATATCATGGCCACTGCTTCCTGCAACCATTATTTAGAAGCCTTGATAATGAAGGAACAGAACAATAAACATGAACATCTGGCTTGTTGCTTTGCCTTGAGTTCTGCAACAGCTCTTCCACCTTATACTAGCCTTTTCCCCTATGGGTAAAAGAGAATTAGTTTATTAGAAGTCTCCAGGATTAGTCCTTGGAGTGGAAGCTGAATTTCAAAACAGTTCCATGAGTGAACTAACCAAAGTTGTACCATCATGGATTTGGTAGTATATAAAGAGATAAAGAAAGGATATGTCTATAGATATTTCTCACACCTTATTTTGTTAGATTTCTGTTGATATAACAAATACTTGAGATAATCAATTTAGGAAGAGGACAGTTTATTCTGGCTCACAGTTTTAGAGGTCCATGATTGGCTGGCCCCATTGCTTTTAGGCCTGTGCAGGAAAGTAAATACTTCCATGGCAAGAGCTATGGCAGAGGAAGCCCATTTACCTTACAGCTGAGTGAGGAAAAAAGAGGAAGAAAAAGGGACATTCAAAGGTACGCCCTCAGTGATCTAAAACCTTGTACTGGGCCCCACCTCTTCAAGGTTATACCACTTCCCAATAGCAAGCAATGAGCTGGGGACTAAGCCTTTAACACATGGACCTTTGGGAGACATTTCAGATACAAACTTTTTAGCACCTCACAGAGGGCTATGCCCAGAGGAGAAATTAATGCATGCAGTTGTTGGTCACCACGTTGATCTTAACCCTTGGGTTAGCTTTGCTTATATGGAAACAGAATGCATCATTTCACTATCTCTTATGTGAATTACAGCTTGTGTTTTTTTGTTGAATACTTGCCAGAAATGTTGCAGTGTGAAAGTTTTAAACGAAGGATGATGGCCGTCATGTCCTTAGAAGTAATTTGCTTAGCAAACGATTGCTATTGGAAATGTATTTTGGATGCAGGTAATGCAAAATCAATTAACTATATCTTTCTTAATGTTATTTTAAGTAGAGCTCTATTATATTTAGGTCAACCACTTTTTAAAAATATATTTGAGAGGGTGGTTCTGGCAATTGAACTCAGGACCTTGTATATGTAAAGCATACATTCTACTTTGAGCTGTACCCCTAGCCCTAATATATTTTTAAATTGTAAAAGAATCTTTTTAATTGGCTATAAGATTTTCCCTGTTTTTTCCAAAGATCCAGTACTTTATTTTATTTATTTATTTTATTTTCCATGTGGAAGTTGCACAGGATTCAAAACTATATAAATTTTACAGAAATTCTATTTCTCTAAAAGCTCACAAACTTAAAAACTAATAATAAATTATCATACTACTCTTATATTTAGAATTTATCCCAATTCTGTCACAGAATTTATTTTTAAAATTATAATAGCAGAGCAAGTGTTAGGTTGGATTTGTAACTATCTGTGCATTTAGAATTAAAATTTATTTCTTAGCCTTTCTAGCCTGGTTCCCTCATTAATACAATGGTTTAATGTCCTAGTTCTTTTGAGAACAATACGTCCAATATAACTTCCTGAAATGATGAAAAAAGCCTTATCTGTCCTGTTGGATATGGTAGGCATTACCCTAATGTGGATATTGAACACAGATAAAATGCTCTGTAAGCACTGTTGGATCAATAAATTAAAATTATTTAATTATAGACAGTCCCCTAAGAGCATGTAAAAAAAAGTTCTTTGTCCAAAAAAAAGTTAACCATAGACTTAAGTAATAAAGGATGTTTCATTTCAGGTAGCTAAACATATAAAAAAAAATTATACATATCATATTTTCCAGCTCTTTGTGTATGTTCTGTAAGGTGCTATCTTTTTATTTCATATTGAACTGACGTAACAAGCATCCAACTGAAGCCAGATTCTTTATTTTCACTATGCCAAATAATTTCCAATAATGAGGCTAATGTTGAATTTTACTAGATTCTGCACTTTTTGGTTTTTGCTAATTGGTATAAAATAAGGATAAAATATAATAGTATCTTTAAATAATTGCACAAATACTCACACAAAATTGATGCAATAACCACAGCTGAACTCTACTATGTGATAGCTCAAAAATTTATCAATGATTGTAAGCCAAAGTACAGTGTTTTATAGACAAATGTTTTAAAATGTATGATTGTGTGCTATGAATAATGAGAGTTGCCTATACTAGGGATAAGAAAGAAAAGTATATTCATGTAATTTCAAATTATTGTTTTATATCTTATAAAATTATTTGTTAATGATTTATATTGCAGTGCCCATAAACATCATTTAAATCTTGTCAAGATAAATTGACTTCAAATAATTTGTGCTTTTTTGTTTTGGTCTTTTCTTTTAAGGCACCATTCCTGCCTTAACCAACCTATTAAAAATTCCCAAAATAAAATTACAATGCAAAACTGTTGGGTTATTGAGTAATATTTCAACTCATCTAAGTGTAGTGAATGCTTTGGTAGAAGCAGGAGGCATCCCAGCTTTGATTAATCTTCTGCTTTCTGATGAACCTGAACTACACTCTCGCTGTGCTGTCATTCTGTATGATATCGCTCAATCTGCAGACAAGAATGCCATTGCCAAAAATGTAAGCTCTTTTCACAGAACATCATTGTGTGTGTGTGTGTGTGTGTGTGTGTGTGTGTGTGTGTGTGTGTTGCTTGGGACTGAACCAGGGCCTCATGCATGCCATACGAATATTCTACCACTGAGCTGTATATCCCCTGCTCTCATAGAACATTCTTGTCTCATAGTAATTCCTTCATATAGAAGCTAGAACAAACATGAATTGGTGGGAGTATACTATGTATACAACCAGAGATATGAAAAATTGAGCTCTATATTATGTAATAAGAGTTGTAATGCATTCTGTTGTTATATATAAATAAAAAAAAGAAAGAAAAAAAAAGAAGCTAGAATGAGAGAGAGACCCAAATTGATGGAGGAATGAGAGGGAACTTGGGGAAAAATATTTAACTAAGAAGTTGACCTAAATTAGGGGTGTTTTTTCATATGTTCATATATACTGATTGTTTCTTGCTGTTTATAAGAAGATATTAGAAGAAGCACTACCATTCTAGCTATCTCTATCTGGCTGAGAAATGGAGTCTAATTGTGTACCAGAAAGAATGAATTAGAAGAAAATTATTTTTTTGATGAACTCCAAGCAATCTTTTTCATGCTGTATTTCTTCAAATTCTGCTTTATTATGTCTGACAATATTATTTTATTAAGATCTTTTGATAGATATTTATTTATAAGTGCAGTTCCTTTATATAATTTTCTTTGGTTGTATATAGTTGCTTCTTCATTATAGATTGAGTCTTTTGCATTATAAAATGTACATTTTTCTCAAGCTTAATACTTTTACCTTACATTCTACCTGTGCAAAATTATGTTTGTGTTCTATTTTCTTTGTGCTCATATTTAATCTGCTTTTGCTCACACTTTTATTTTTAATTTTTTGGAATCATTTTAGCTACAAGTGTTTGTTACCAATCATTTGTCAATATATTAGCAATAATAGAGACATCCAGGCCTGCCTCCAGGTTAGTCAGTCTTATTCACTTAGATCTCACAATGTTTCACTGGTAATTTGACAGAATTAGAATAAATTTGTCTCTTCTATGCAGTATACATAGGTTGTGGTTTGTCATTAACTTTTTATTGAGTTAGTCACTTACATGTATTGATGTGTATGTTTTATTTTAGTTCTGTCATAATATTGTATTATTCTATTTTTTCATATGTTCTTTAAATTTTCTACTATTTTGTGCTATTCTCCCTTACCCCTTTTTCTTTATCCTTATGTGAAGTTCAGAATTTATACATCAAAATTAGTTAGTCCTTATTTCTTATACTTGGTATATCTTTTTAACATATACATCTGCATTCTTTCATTTTGGAAATGTTTATATGAATTCATATCTTTAACTTTTTTATGGTATTATTTTAGTACATTCATAAAAATATTTATTGATACTATTCAGATTCTAAGGTTACAGAAGTGAATAAAACAGATACAATCACAGCTTCTATATAGTTTTTATCCTAGTTGATGGTTACAAGACAACAAACAAAACAAATAAGCCAAATATATAGTATGGTAAGAAGGAAAAAGTAAGGAAAGGGGGGAGAAGTCTGGTGAAAAACAGACATTTTCCAGTATTGATCAGGGATTGGTTTCAGGACCTGTGCAGATACCAAAATCCCTAGATGTTCAAGTTCCTTATATAAAATGGCATAGTATTTGTATATAACTAATGCACGTCCTCCTGCATACTTTAAATCATTTCTAGTTTGCTTAAACTGCCTTATACAATGTAAATGCTATGGAAATAGTTGCCATGCTGTATTGTGTAGGGGATAATGACAAGAAAACAATTGGCACCTATTCAGAACAGATACGTCTTTTTCCCATTTTTTAAAATTCATAATCAGTTGAATCCACAGATGTGGAACCTGGGGATATGGAGATCTGATGAAGAAGTTAACATTTGAGTATAGTCCTGAAGTAAATGAGGAAGTGTTTTCATGTTTTTCTATTGATAAGTGCATGCTAGGCAGAGGAAATAAGAGTAATGAAGTAAATAAATAAATGAAGTAAGATTGTGCCTGGCATGTTTGAGGAATAGCAAAAAAGCCAAGGTAATCAAGGGAAGAAAAGAGGGAGACATTCGCTGAATAATGATTGGCCATATCACATAGGGTCATGTAGGCAATTGTTAAAGACACCTTGGCTTTTAGTCTGAGTATGTTAGGAAGCCACTGAATGGTTTTTCTCTGGGAGGTTTCAAGAAGAGATTTAAATAACTCTACCTAGTATGTTGAAATAGGGAAGCAAGGGTGAATGAAGGAAAATGACTTGAGAAACTTTTGCAGTAATTCAGGTAAAGTATAGTGTATTGATCGAGGGTGATGATAATGGAAGTGGCAAGAAGCGGTTATATTCCATATTATATTTTTAAATTTGAGTCACACCGAATTTGTGAAAAATTGAACCATCTGGAGGAACTAACAAAAAAAGAACAGTCAATTGGGTAGCAGAAAACCTGAAAAATCTGTTGTCATATGAAACAACAAGGAAAACATTTTAAGGAGGAGAGAATGATTGACAATGTCAAAGGTTGTTGTAGAGGATTCAAAATAGCAGATTAGAGGAAGGATGCATCCCAAATTGCTCCATGGCTTTGGATTCAAGTAGCAGGAATAGCTGCTTCTCCATGAGGTAGGTGAATGAGGGATTTCACTAAAACTCAGTATTGGACAGCTGGAGTATCTTAGAGACTCAGAATTTGGATACATTAAACAAAGAAGGAAGACTATGTTGGAGCCAAGCCAGTTGCAGCAGTGGCAGTGGTAACAGTGCTGGTCCATAAAGGGAGGAAGAACACAGAAAGAAACACAACAGACAGGTTTGGTATGGAAAAACATGAAATCATAAAAGCAGCCTGAACTTAGCTGATCCAGAGTCTGTAATTTGCACTGGTGCTTAAAAAGTACTATTTTTCAGAAGGCCACCGGGAAGGTGAAAGCCATCTTCAGGCAGCCATGCTGAAGCTGCTGCGTAGCTGGGAAATCACAGCAAACCCTGCAACACCATCCCAGCATGGGGCTGTCATGCAGCCTAGGGTATACCTAGAAGGATGTGAGTGATTTTACTCAGGGAGATTCAAGTTGGAAGCAAAGGGGAACACAAACTTGCTTCTTCTTTGAGTCTGGTGGCTCACATGACCTACTGAAGAAGTCAGGAATCTGAACAGGCAGGTGTGAATACACTCAGGGACTAAGCCTAGAAAGGATGTGTTCCTGGAGTATTGGCTCCTCTGCCACATGAGTAGAATTCTTGGGAGGCTACTGAGATCTAGATTCCTAAAAGAGATTGGCAACTGCCATACCCTAGGGGTGTGTTGATCTACTCTCCAGAGCAGACATCACCCCCAAAAAGCCCCTAAGGACTGATGAGAACTAAGTCCCACACATTGTAACTCCCCTCATAGAACTCTGCAGCAGTCCTACCCTTAGAGTGCATCATTTGGTCTGTGCAGACAATACTCCAACTGATAGTACTTCCCATTCCATCCTACCTCATACTGGTAAGAAGAGAAGCTGTGACTTATTCAACCAGCTTGAATTTTAGGCCACTCCTACTGGCAGCTCAGTATACAAAAAGAGCAAGGTGTTAACCCCCACCAGCCCTTGCTCTTGTTCTCAGTATGCAGATCAAGAAGAAATGGAAAGACAGTCAAGACATAGATGGTAACTATCCATTCTCATCAACTATTTTGACCACCTCAGTGGAAATGATTCCTTAATTTCTCATTAAGAATCTTTTCCTTTCTGTGTGTGTTCTTATATGTTTATTTTTTGATTAGTTATTTTGTCTTGAGTTGCCTTTTGAGGATTAGGCTTTTAATTTGTATATTTTGGTTTTGCTTTGTATTGAGTTCATTTGTTTCTCATGTTTCTCTTTCTCTCCTCCTGCTAATGACCAAATTCTATTGTTTCTCTTGCCTTTGTTTCTCTTATTTTTTCTCCTCCTTCATTATAACTGTCAACCGATACATCTCTTTTTCATTTTCGTGGTTCATGTTTTGAAATTATAAACTTTTTTCTACCTCCCTATTACATTTTGCCTAGCCGTCTCCTTGCAAAATTCCTCATTGGCAACCTTCCATAACAGGTATTGTCCTCCATTTAGCACAGCTTTACAATCTGCTGGCGTCATGTTTAAGTTGGTAATGGATTCGACCAAGCTTACAGTGAAGGGTGCTTGAGGACCATAGGTTGTTACAGCCTCTTTTAGCTGCTTCACTGTTTTGAAATTTAAAGCATGGTAAATTCGCTGCCCTCCTATCTCAAATGTTAATACTTGAGATCCTGTCTCAGGATCCCAACTATCAACTGCAGGGGTTGGGGGCCTCCCAGCATATGGAGGTGGCCTTATTAGTTGGACATTTACATCCTCTGGTGATAGAAAGGTGTTAGTAGCAGTCTCCTATAGAGGTGGTGCTGTTTTGGACCCTTACACCCTCTAGTGATAGAAAGGTGTTAGTAGCAGTCTCCTTTTGTAACTTTCCCCCTGATGGCTTTTTCTGCTCTAAACTTCCTTCCTCTGACTAGTTCAAGAGATCTTCTCTTTTACTTGAATCTTTTCCTCTGACTAGCTCGAGAGACCTTCTCTTTTACTTGAATCTTTTCCTCTGTCTGACTAGCTCAAGAGACCTTCTCTTTTACTTGAAACAATATGTCTTCTCCTTCCTCTACCATTGTCTGAACTGAAGGCTTTGGACTAAGCAAACAAGATATGAACGTCCACAATGGCAATGTGCCAACTGGCAGAGTCCCTGGGCTTTTCTTTTCTATTCTTTTTAAATCTTCACCATGATGGTTCCATTGTGAGATATTTAACAACTCCTCCTTAAAACGCCATGGGCTACATTTTTGTATTGTATCAACGTATGCCCTGACTGCTCTTGATTTTACTGGGATGCCTCCTTCCTCTAACAATTTACTTAACACTCTTTCGGTTTGTTTTTTACTAATTTCTGATCCCATATTACTACTATAATACAACCCATCAAGATAACACCAAACAAAACCAAGATAGAATGAAATAAAAATGGAACAACAAAAAATCATTATAGCCTTTCTCCCTATCTGTTTCTCAGACGCAAATAGTTTTTCCTCAGATGTGAGCGGTTTTTCTTCTGTCTCACTCATCTCCAGGGACAGGCAACTTAAAACAAAAGTGAAGCAAAACAAAAGAGGAATCTTAAAATGGCTACCCATCCTCTTGCCCTGCCCTCAGGGGCGAGCAGTTTACGTACCCTAAGTCACTCCCCGTACAGGCCACCAAATGCCGCAGTCTGGCTGGGTACAATTCAGGAGCCACTTGTCAAAAGAAACTAACTTTATTTTTAGAACCACACATGCCAAACAAAATAGCTCCTCAGGAAAAAACCCTCAGAGCCCAACTGCCACCACCAGCTTCCACAAGCCTCTCCCCCACACCAGCCTCACCACCTCCCCCAATCCTCCTGCTCTTGAGGCCGATTGGCTGGGTCACGTGGGTGGAGCCAAAGAAGTCCCCCAATGAGCAGCTCTGTGGTCTGAAAGGGCAGGGAAACAGCCCAATGAGCATCATGGCAGAGGAGCCAATCAGCTAGATGTTGCTGGGGCTGCTGTGAGCCAATCATCAGCCAGCAGCTGGAAGTTTGCTGGAGCCCCTTTGGCTGTGGCTCTCAACAAGGGACAACACTCCAGCATATAGGCACAGGCAACAACTTTCTCAATAGGACCCCTAAAGCTCAGGAAATAATGCTAAGAGTTAAGAAATGGGATGGCATCAAATAAAAAGCTTCTGTAAGGGAAACTAGTTATATGAAGAGAGGATCTACAGATGTGAGAAAATCTTGCTTAAATCACAGAGGATTAAAATCTAGAATATAAAAAGAACTCAAAAAACTTTATACCAAAAAATCAAGTAACTCAATTAATAAATGGGCATATGAATTAAACAGAAACTTCTCAAAAAAAAAGAAATGCAAATGGCCAAAAAACATGAAAAATGTTCAACATTATTAGCAAATAGGGAAATGTAAATCAAAACTACACTGAGATTTCATCTCACATGAGTCAGAATGGCAGTCACCAAGAATACAAACAATAATAAATGCCTGAGAGGATGTGGAGAAAAAGGAACACTACTACACTGTTGATGGGATTGTAAATTAGTACAATCACTATGGAAATCAGTCTTTCATCAAAAGACTAGGGATGGAACCATCATATGACCCTGCTATCCTACTCCTTGATATCTATCCAAAAGAACTATAGTGATACCTGCATCTCAATGTTTATAGCAGCACAATTCACAATACGCAAACTATGGAACCAGCCTAGCAGAATGGAAAAAGAAAATGTGGCATATAAACACAATAGGATTTTATTTGCAGGAAATAGGTCATACCTCAAGGTCAAGAGATGTATATTTTCTCTCTCATGCAGAAGGTAGAGAGGGAAAAGGAAAATAAAGGTGGGGGAAGTTCATGAATATCAGATGGAGATCAGTAAAGGGAAGGGACCAAGTGGTAGGAGGCAGAGAGGAAGCGGGTAGGTGCTGTGGAGTGATAGTGTCAAAATTATATTGTTATATTGTGTGTATGAATGCATATGTAATAAATCCCATCATTATGTCCAACTCTAGTGCACCAATGAAAAAAGTGGGAGGTGCTGGGGATGTGGCTCCAGCGGTAGCCCAGTTGCCTGGCATGTGCAGGGCGCTGGGTTTGATCCTCAGCACCACATAAAAAATAAAAAATAAAGATGTTGTGTCCTCTGAAAACTAAAAAGATAAATATTAAAAAATTCAAAAAAAAAGAAAAAAGGAAAAAAGTAAGAAAAAAGTGGAAAAAAAAGGTTGTAACGTGAAAATTAACTTTTCTGTGTTTTAGTGTCTCTCCCATGTACTCTTGTTTTATAGTGGTGTTTGGCTCATTTTTTCATTGATCATAATACACTGCATTTGTTTACAACTTTCATCTACTTTGTGGCAACATTTTTTTGATGAGCATTTGTCTTAATATGTTCCTGCTGCTATAACAAAATGCCACAGCAAAGATAATTTATAAACAAAAAATATAACTTTATTTTTCTGATAGTTTGAGAGGCAGGGAAGTCCAAGATCAAGGTGGCAGCATGTTCAGTGTTTGGTGAGGGTTGTCCTCTGCTTCCAAGATGACACTTTATTGTTGTATCTTCAGAAGGTAGAAAAGAAAAAGGGCCTAGCTATTTCTTTCTGACTCTTTAATTAGTCACTTCCTGAAAGCTTGTATATTAATACTATCACAGTGGGACTTAAGTTCCTATCTAGGAATTGGCCAGGAGTGGAGGGACACATACATTCAAACCATGATATCATTTTTCATCTATTATAAGGTTTTCTGATTTTTTTTCTTATACTTTGTTTGGTGAGATCCTGTATATGTTCTTTTTTGGTCATTACTCATATTCTATGAGATAAATTCTTTCTGGTACAGGAAGCATATGTGGGAGAGGACCTAGACACATGTTCTAGGATAGCAAGCCTATTTCTTATGCCTTGTACTAATGCATGTGTTCTTTTGGCTTTACTTTTACCTAGCCAACACAGATAGGTGGTTCATAGTGCCTCATAAAGCAGATTCTACTCCATAATGTGAAGTCTTTCTCTTCCTTTTTACCTCACCAATACACTATTTCTTCCAAACTTATATTTTCAGCATGATTCCTGGTTCTCTGATTTTTGAAACTATATAGTACTGGTGTTCTACCATTCTAAATGCCTATTCCTATTGTTTCAAACATGGCATTCTGTTTTAACTCTATCTTGAGTTACTTAATTTGTAAAATTGCTTTCTCAGCATTTCCTGTGATTTGGGGCCATGGGAGTTCTCCATCATACCTGTTGGCAACTTGTACACATTTATTTCAGCATTGCAGATGTCCTCTTGTCTCTCATTTTTCTTGGTATTCTTGCATTACTTTTGTTGGCAAAGAGAAATGACATGTTTACTCCATTTAAAATTAGGGAATTATATTAACATTTAAAAATAATATTTGGTGTTACACAAACATAATTACCAATTACCAGTGCGGTGTCCACAATGGCAAATATTTCCAAATGGTGTAATATATTCAATTGATCTTACTAGTTGCTTCACTTCTTAGATATTTATTAAATGTTATAGTGAAATTGGAGCCTCAAGTTGTTCTAGATGTTATTTTTAAATGTATTTATTGAATTCTTGCCATAAATATTTGCTCAAAATTGTGCTGTCATTTATCACATCAGTAGACACAATCATTTATAGACAATTGTTGTCTTGTAAATAAGCAGATATTTACAGCAAGAAAGATTATAGACTTGTTTCTAAACTAAGATTACATTTATCTTAAATAAATTTAAATGTAATTACTTTTTGTTTATTTTTAGAATGGAATCCCAGCTCTGATAAATCTCTTGACAGTAAACATAGAAAGTGTGTTAGTAAATATTATGAATTGTTTACGTGTATTATGTACAGGAAATGAAAACAATCAAAGAGCAGTAAAAAACCATAAAGGCATCCCACACCTTATCAGATTTCTGAATTCTGACTCTGGTGAGTCTCTACTTCTGTTATTTAAAAGTGATCAGATTTATTAAGTGAAGCAAACATAAATTTGGACTTGTCCTATATGAATATATGTCTCATAGAATTCTCTTTAAGTGGATCTAGACATTTAGTGCATCTAGACATCTATAACCTAAATAGCTGGAATACCTGAATTTAAACTACTGAATTTATAAGTAATTGACTCTCGAAGCATTATTTATTTTATTGAACCCAGGGCCTCACACATACTAGGTAAGCTCTCCACAACTGAGATATATTCCTAGCCCCTTAAAAGCACAGTTTTAAAAAACATTTAATTAGATGGTTTTATAAATGGAAATGCAGGCATAAGTCATGAAAATGTGCTCAGCGCAATAGATGTCTGTGTGAATACTATAAACATTGCTCATTGATAGCTATTTTACAAGTTACAAGAACTTCATAATTGCTGTTACACATTTTATATTAAAATTTAAAGCAATTAGGAGGCATTAGGTCAATTATCAGTTTCTAAAGTGCACCTTAGTACCAATAACATCAGAAGACATAGGCTTTTTTCGACATCTACTGTAAATAGTCTCTTAGGTTCTTTAAGAATAATCTCATAAATAATTTCAGTTCATAGACTCTTAGGTTCTATAAGAATAATCTCATAAGTGAGCATACTTAAGAACAAGTTTCAAATTTGGAAAGAGAAAAAAAATCAGGAAAAGCTTGTCCCTTTTTCTTCCTGCTCAGCTTATCATCTTGTGTTCCAATTCACCAGAAATAAATACAGAATATATACATTGGTAAAATATAAGTGGAGGGTTTGGATAAGGAAGTATTGCGTAGGGCTTTCCTTTCCTTTATTTTTTTTCTTCCTTTTTGGCTTTAGGGATGGAACCCAGGGGCATTTTACCACTGAGCTATATCTCAACTCTTTTTAGTTTTCATTTGAGAGAGGGTTTACTGTTACTTGCTGTGGCTAGCCTCAAACTTGTGATTCTCCTGCCTCAGCCTCTCCAGTCGCTGGGATTATAGGCATATACCTCCACATTTGGCAGCTTTCCTTTACAACGTCACAATTTAAGCAAGTGTCATCTTCCAAGAATGTGTATCATGCAGTGAAATCATTTGAAAGCTCTCTATTCAAAGTTTTCCTCTATTACTTCATTAATTAAGGCTAGTTTTAGAGAGGATCACCTTTTAAGCCTATTTTAACCATACAATTTTCTTTTTTTGTGGTGCTGGGGATTGAACCCAGGGTAATCATATATTTTTAACTTTTTTCAATTTAATTTTTAAAATATTTTTGGTTTGCATTTAAAATTTTAAAGCCTTTATTTTCCTTTATTTTCTTTCAGCCTGTACCAGATATTGGAACAAAGCACAAATTATTGCAATTTGAATAAATAAATGAAGTATATGAGTTCCTGGAAGAAAGCCATAGAAATCAATTATTGAAATAATTTCTCTTTTTTGCCTTTTGCCTTATCTAAATTTTAAATAAAAGTATTTTTTCCTTTACTGGTTTACATTATCCCTGCCCCACCAGTCCAAGGAAAATGAAGAACTTAATAAATTTTAATTATTTTTTCTCTTTTAAGTCTCATATCTAACAAATAATCCTCTTTGATATTAGCTGGGTTGATAAGTTATAGGGGATTGCAAAGGAATTTTATTCATTCTGGTATCTTCTTGACTATTTTGAACCACTCTAAGATTTCATGAACCAAGGTAAAATGGCTCCAAAGTAGGTTCCTAAGCATTTTCTTCAGGCAATGGCCTTGTTGATATCTCCATGGTCTAAATATCCACGTCTAGATTCTTCAGATTTAATCTTGCTGAGGGCCCTTTTGTTTTAGGTCTTTGTTTCATCTAGCTTTAGCCATTTGTATTTACACTGTTGCATGCACATGCACATTTACATGTGTGCGTGTGTGCATGCGTGCCTGCCTTCATTCCCACAATGCTGCTGATTTTTTAGGGCACACACCTTCTTCCCTTTTTTCAAATTGAAGCAGGGACAAAGGAATAGACATGGGAATCAAACAGAGACCAAAACTTCAGCCTCAATGAGAGAAAGTTTGCTTTTGAGAACACAGCAAAAAGTACTAAAAAGAATGTAGGCCATGCATTTGCAATAACTCATTCTTCAAACTTATTCCTTTGTCTCAGAGGGAGGAATAAGAGGAGTATTTTTATTCTTAACATTTCTGAGTTCAAAATGGGTGAAGAATTTCTACTTTTTTTGTACTAATACAGGAATACTGGATAAGATGAATGGTTTTCCCTACACTTTCAATTTTACTAGAATGATAATATTTAAAATGTAAAAAGTTGACCATATCTTCTCCTTTAAATTATTCAGACTCTTTTTATCACCTAAAATAAGATCTACATTTCTAGCATGGCCTGTAAGTCTTCCTAACTTCTTTACTTCAAGAGCAAATGACCCATCACTTCCTATCATTCTCTGTCTTATATTATTTTCAAGTAATATTAAACTTAATGCTATTCCATACCCTAACTCTACCATCTTACTCCACAAGTTTAAGGACATTATTTTGTTGGTTCACCATTATATCCCTTTTACCTAGAACAGTGTTTAGCACATAGTAACTACTCAATAAATATTTGCTGAATGAATTATGTAATGACTAAGCAAAGAAAATAATCAAAACAAAAATAATATATTTGATATAAATTTATATAAAGTGACTACACAATAAATGTAGCTCAGCGGCAGAGAGCTTACTTATTAACATGCATGAGGCCTTGTGTTCAATTCCCAGAATGCAAAAAAAAAAAAGAAAAAATATATAAAACCAGTTAATAAGCATGTAAGAAGTTTAAATTAAACAGTAACCAAAAATACAAAATAAAATGAAACACCATTTTTTGCCTATCAAGCATATATATATATATATATATATACATATATATATGTATATATATATATATACACACATACATACACACACACACACATACACACATATAAATTTAATGATAATACCTGTATTTAAAAAGGCACAATAACATTAATACTCAAACTCTGATTACAGACAGTTAAAATGCGATTATTTTTGTAAAGTACTTTACTGAAATATACTGAGTTATTCCAGTAATTCCTGAATACTATGCTAAGGGAAAAAAATACAAACAGGAAGGAAATATCTTACATGCTAATAAGATTTCTCCTGCAACTGTTTAAAACAGTGAAACCTTTAAAATAACATATTTTCAAAATGTGAATGGGCTAAAAAAATGTGATATATTTGCTAATGGAATATTTAGAAGACATCAGTGTTCATAAAGAATGGGAAAATACTTTAATGGTAAATAAAAATGCAGAATATTGCTTTTGTAGCATGACCACATTGAATATGTACAAAGTTGTCTAAATCCACCTATCCTCATAAGAAATAACAAATTAAATTAAATCTAAAGTTTTATTATGTTTATGTGAAGGATCCACAGTTTTTCTTTTACTATTTTTCACTCTAAAATTTCTTTTAACATTTTATAAATGTGATATAATATGGGAAATGATGATAAATACTGCACTTTGATAGTTACTTTATAAAAGGTCTCATACAACTTGTTCTTTGATTCATTTGAAGATGTGTTGAAGGCTGTTTCATCTGCTACAATTGCTGAGGTTGGGCGTGACAATAAGGAAGTTCAGAACGCTATAGCTATGGAAGGAGCGATTCCGCCCCTGGTAGCTCTTTTTAAAGGGAAACAAATTAGTGTCCAAATGAAAGGTGCAATGGCTGTGGAATCACTGGCAAGTTATAACCCTTCTATACAGAAGGCATTTCTGGAAAAAAATTTAACTAAATATCTCTTAAAACTCCTAAAGGTAGGAATTTTATCGTTAGTAACTATCTTTCTTAGATGACTTATTTCCATTTTAGATTTTGTTTAGTGAATAGAAAAATAAAACTAATTCTGGAATAAATATTTTATAAAATATACACCTCAAAATTGTTCAATAAATGTTCACTGACTGAATGGAATTTTTTAATTAGGCATTTCAAATAGATGTTAAGGAGCAAGGAGCTGTAGCACTTTGGGCCTTGGCAGGACAAACACTGAAACAACAAAAATATATGGCAGAACAGATTGGATACAACTTTATAATAAATATGCTTCTGTCACCATCAGCTAAAATGCAGTATGTTGGTAAGTTATTTTCCATACATTAATCTTCACAATGCATAAGCACATGGATTGTCATACTTATCTCTTTGTTTACTAGGAGGTGAAGCAGTCATAGCTCTGAGTAAGGACAGCAGGATGCATCAAAATCAAATATGTGAAGGGAATGGAATTGCACCATTGGTTCGTTTACTAAGAATTAGTAAAATAGCTGAAGGCACACTTCTCAGTGTCATCAGAGCAGTGGGATCCATTTGTGTTGGTTTGTACACTTAATCTCAACTTCTTAAATATCTTTAAGAAAAAGAGAACTTGGTTAGAGAAGTAGAAATTGATCTTTTCCTCTTGAAACCTACCGCTAGAGCCCTAAAACATATAATCTAGAAAGGCTTATAAAAATTTTCTCCGAGACCTTAGTAAATATCTGAGGTTTAATTAAAAACTTTTCATTGGTTTTGCTCTAGAACTCTGAGTGGAACTGAGACTTGACTATTTTGACTTAAAGCAATCTCAAAATAAATACCTAACCCGCACTGAAAATTGCTTTCAATAGTATAACGCTTTGTTGAATCTTCATAAATTGTCTATTTTTTTCCTGGCCATTCAAGAAAAAGAAAAGAGAGAAAGAGAAAGAAAATAAAACTCTCCTTTGAATTTTAAGGGCTATGTTTTTTGAAGATCTTGAAGAGTTCCTAATATCAAGCCACATTTTTCCATCCCAGTCTCTTTTCATAATAATTCTTTTATTTATAAAGTGGCCTTTATTGCAAAGGGATTGATGTTTCGAGTTACCTGGAAAATGTTGAATTGTCAATGATTGACCTACCAAAAGTAAAAATTTGGGTTCTTTGCTGACCTTCATGTACACAGTGAGCTGACTGTAGAATGTTTCTTGTAAACAAGGGGAAAATAAGATTCTTATTTCTAGGTCACTGTATTTCCTGAAAAGTAATAATACAGCTGAAGGAAGTACATAGATATTAGGTCCCAAATTTTATTTTCTTTTTGATTATTAAAACTACTTGCAGAAATTCATTAACTCCAAGGTAATCAGCCACAGAAGAAAATGTTCCTTTATTTTATTTTATTTTGGACAGAGACTATAGAATAAATTATAAGTGTTCATAAAATTCTGGAAAATGATTTTATACACAAAGTTGCTTACACAAACATATACACAATCAATTTCTTTATATTAGTTCACTACATATCAATGGGGGATGAAGGAGAAGGTAAGGGAACAAAAGTATTCTTTGTTCCTTGTAATTTCCCCAATTCTTTCAAACTTCCCCCAGATAACAGTCTGTGGCTATCTTTTCATTGTTCATAAAGAGACCCAATCTTGTATTCATACTTAAGTATACAAACTTATAATTTGTATTTTGACATTTATAGGACAAAAAAGAATTAAAACTATGTGTGTCCTCTACAAAGAGATGACCAGAGTTCTCCATTTAGTTTAGGTCTGCATAAAGTTGTAGGTTATAAAGACTTATAGGAAGTTTTTTTTTTTTTTAGTACATGTAATTTAAGGAATCTATAAATCTTAACTCAGTGATTTACCCTAGTCATTTTTGTAGAAATAAACTTTTTATGGAAAATATTAACTATACACTTGAGTACTGAGAAAAAATTTTTTCCAATAAATGATAGCTATTGTTATTCCTTGATAATATAGCATTTTAAAAATTTATTTGCTGTATGTCTATTAGAAATCCATCTGTAATTCTAATAATAAATTCTCCATGTTTGGTAACTATACTTTTTTTAAAAAAAACTTTTTTAGTTGTAAGTGGACACAATACTTTTGTTTTATTTATTCATTTATTTATTTTTATGTGGTGCTCACATGTGCTAGGCAAGTGCTCTATTGATGAACTACAATCCCAGCTCCCTAACTATGTCTCTTAATAAGTTAATAAGAACTTAAAATAGGGTTGATATAGCCTTTCCTTTTGTAATTTACTAACCACATTACTAACCATCTTATCAACCAATAATAACAAGTTAAAAATGACTTTGTCATTTACAAGATGGAAAGAATATTACCTCACTGACATGTGAACTCTTACAGGTGTCGCCCATACAAGCAATCCTGTTAGTCAACAATTTGTTGTAGATGAAAATGCCCTTCCTGTACTTATCCAACTACTAAGAAATCACCCTTCACCTAATATTAAGGTACATATCAAAGTTCAAAACTCTTTTTCTGAAAATTAACATAAAGATCACATTTTAGAATAATTTGTATGTTTATCATAGTTCACAAGCATAAAAGTTTCACCTTTTTAAAGAAAACCTTTTAAGTTTTAAACAAAAAGGCCACTACAAGCCATAAGAGTAGTAAATTTTTATTAAAATATGATTTCTTCAAATATGACAGGAAAATATTACATTCTTGTTGTTTAAAGAAATGTTTTCCTGAGAATATTCAATTATTTATTCAAAGAACATCCTTTCTATTTGGTGTGGAGAGTGAGGATGAGTGATTTACATGGCAATATATTGTTAATGCTATACCATCAAAGCAGGCCTACCTTCCACTAAGTAGCATTCTAATGAATTACAGAAAGATTATGACAAAAAGAAGGATTTAAAGTGCTCTGGTGTTCTTTATCATCTTCCCTTCTTTATGGTTTTCCCAAGGCTTGACATTACAAAGAACTACTTTGTTGAAGGGTTATTCACTCTTACATTCACTTCTAGTAAAATGTGCTTAAGAAAATAACATTCACATCTCTTCAAATCCTTTTAACAAGGCTTTAGAAATTGACCAGGCAGGAAATTATAACAATAAAACATACATTTTCTTGTCAAAATTTGGTAGGGGCTCTGTTGGAGACAAAGAAATAGACAATATAAGGAGGAAAATATGTAAGTAAACAGCAATCTTTCTTTTAATGGATATATTTGCTAGACAAATTATGTGGCCTCTCTGTCTATGAAGAAGAGGTTATTATAAGAGTTAAGAAAAAAGAAGCATATGCTAGCAAAGTTTCAGGTTTTACTTTTGACTTTCAGAGTATAAGGAAATTCCTTAAGACTGGAAAATTCCATGTAAAAATAACATTTTTATTTTAAAATGTGCATTGACATGAGAAAATAGTTTACTTCAATGGCATCCAGCAATATTTCAGTATGTATTTTTAATGGGTTTTGAACATAAGTACTTTTCAATATTTTTCCTCAAAAATAAGATTCTAGAGGCTGAGGTTATAGCTCGGTGGTAGTAGAGTGCTTGCCTGGCACCACATATAAATAAGCAAAATCAAGGTTCATTGACAACAGCAAAAAAAGATTCTATAATGCATAAATATTTCACAAAAATTCAATAATTATGCTTTTTGAATTCATAACGTTTTCATATAAATGCATAGTGTAGCATTTTAAAATCTATTCTAGTTAATCTCAGTAATATTCAAGGTTTATCCTCCTAATGGGCTTAAAAATAACTCCAAACCTAGAGGAGAAAAAAAGCTATACCTCAGCCTATATCACAAAGCTTTGCTTAAATTAATAGGATATTTCTCTAGAAGTTGTGTCAGAGAATAGTCAGATAATTAAAATCAATGAATTATTCCTTAGCAGATTTTATAATATCATTCCACAATATATCTGATATAAATGTTTGTATAATAAAATATGCCATTTGGTAAAAAATAATTTCTAAAAACCACATATTTAGGTTGAAGTGGCATTTTCCTTAGCATGTATTGTCCTAAGGAATGAAGAGTTGCAGAATGAATTACAACAGAAAGAAGGATTTATGTATTCTGATGTCCTTTATCTTCTTCACTCAACAGATAAGGTATACCTTTACAAAATATTAGAGCTCCTTTGGGAGAAAATAGTTTGTATGCCATACTTTCAAATTATAACCAAATTTTCTTCATGTAAATATTCCAATGTATTACTAAAGGAATAAAATGTAAAAGAACTCTTTGTAGGTCGTTAGTTTATATGATACAATAATACAGCTCCATATTTTTCATAATTATCATATTTCATCTTTGAAATGCAGCAATTTTAATGCTTGGTGATAAGCCAAAAACTCTCTCTCTTCTGTCCTGAACCAAATCTTCAATCTAATTTCAACACTTTCAACAGTCATATACTTTTTATCCAATACTTCAAAGTTATACTTTTCAATTTGTGATAAAGAAACAGATTTCCCCAGTAGTGCCCTAGAGTGATGGTTTTAAAAAAAAACTTAATTTTTTGAAATAATTTTAAGTTTTCCAAAAATTTATAAAAGTAGTACAGTGGTGGTATATCCTTCAGTTTTCCCAAATGTCAACCAGAACATTAATACTGATATAATACTATTAACTAATATGCAGACCTTATTTAAATTATGCCACTTTACTCATCAATATGTCTGTTCTGGCATCCAATCCAGGATGGTGTATTACATTTAGTTGTCTCATCTCTTTAGTCTCTACTTTGTGAATCTGAGTCATTCTGTGTCTTTCATGATTTCATGTCTATCCTAATTTTGGTATTTTTGATGAGTCCAGGAAAGTTATTTTACAAATTGTCCCTAAATTTGACTGTATTTGACATTTTTCTCATAATTAAATGGAAGTTGTGCATTTTAGCAATATCACAGAAGGGATGTAGAAGTTCACTCCCTTCCCAGTGCATCCAATCAAAAGGTGAATCACGTTAGTCTTACTACTGGTAATGCTTAACATCAATTACTTAAAGTGTTCTCTGCCACATTTCCCCACTATAAAGTTACATTATCCCCTTTGTAATTAACAAGCATCTTAAGGTGAGACTTGAGATTATTCAAATATTCTGTTTTGCATCATGCTTTTGCTCACCAATTTTAGCATCCATTGATGCAAATATATATATATATATATATATATATATATGATTCTCTAAGCCCCAGTTCCCTTCTACTCTGTTCCTTCTTAATGTTTCTCTTCTTTATTCTCTCCTTCATACAGACCCTTTCCCTTTGTGCTACCACTTATGTCACTCTCCAGCATTCTTCCTTCCCTCCCAGATGTTACCACTTGTTTCACCCATGTTTCTCTAATAATAGATACATCTTTGTGCACCAGTTGTAAAATGAAAGGACTCTTAGGGAACTGAGGAACTAAACCAGAGGATTTATTTGGTTATGGTCATACTTTTTAATTCTAAGAATCATTACATATTGAGTTAAAAATTTATAGTCATACTCTGTATTAATTTTGTCTCAAACTACTTGTTCCATAGGGGTATGTTAGTATTCTTAGGGCTATTGAGAAAGTACTGAGCTACTGTGATCCTTAATTAAGTGGGAGACTTATACACACCTATTGTAGAAATTAGGAGGGGATGGAGGAATGCTCAGCAGCTAAATATGCCTCTGAATAAAGAGCTATTTATGGATAATAACAAATTCTGGAAAATCCTAGCCACATCAACTTTGTCTACATGGAAATGCAATAGGTTTTGGGTCTTTCTGGAACATCTACCCTACTTTCAGAGTTTGTGTAAGCACACTGATTCTAAGGGAGAAATTGACTTTCATTGTTTGCCCAGCCTCAGAATGTTAAAATGTATCTTTTGTTTGTTTTGTTTTGCATTTTTGTTTTGTGGTATTGGGGATTGAACCCAGGTCTTTGCACATGCTGAACTATACCCCTGACTCTTTAATATTTCATTTTGAGACAAGGTCTTACTAAGTTGCCCAGGCCAGCCTTAGAACTTGTGATCCTTTTACCTAATCCTCTAAAGTAGCTAAGGTTATAGGCATGCACCATTGTACCCATCTAAAATGAGATTCCTAAAAGGAAATTTTTTTCTTCCTATTCCTCTATGGGATATAGTACAATAGAGTTTACAAATGAATTTTGTTTACACATATACTTATTTAAAGAGACAATGAGAAAATCCAACAATTCATGAAATTCATTGTTATACAAGGGAAGTTTTGATTTATCAACTCTACTTTGAAATCTTGAAATGAAAATAAAATATAAATGTTGCAACAAAAATGTTGAAAAAATTAAAATTTTTGTTTCCTCTTACCATTCATGTGTTCCTGACAACCTAGTTTTCTATTTTGTCTATTTAGTAACATTCTAGGGTAACTCTCTGCTATTTGTTTTCCCCAGTAATGTCAAATTTCACTACCAGTGATAAGAATACAATGTTTTAATGAGTAAGAATTCACAACCTATTCTGTTGAGTAATATGATAAATGAAGTTCATCACTTCTCTTTGCAGGGTATTTGCTTAAGAGCAGGCTATGCATTAACTCTTTTTGCCTTCAACAATCGCTTTCAACAATACTTAATACTGGAAAATGGAATAATGACCATATCAATTTTTGAACCTTTTCTTAAATCAACAATTGAAACTGAGAGGGCAATGGCAGCATTTCAGGTACAAAGTCAGAGGTTAACACTTCAAATTGATGTGTGTCGTTTTAGTGAAGACTAAAACTTTGGGGGTCTAGTAAAATGTTTACTGACTTGTAAAATTTAATACTTTGTGTATCAGCTTCAACTACCTCATATTAACTCTATTATCTGTGAGCGCCTCTTCATTTTTATAGAATTTTACAAGTTAGTTATAGAACACTTGCCTTTGTACCTCATCTGATGCTTAAAAACCAACCCTGTGAGGCTGATAGGTAGGTAGAATTATTTTCATCATTCAATATTATAAGGGAATAAATGAAGAAACATGTTAAGTGTCTAAGACAGTTTTTTTTAACTGTAAATCTTTAGCTGATCACACTGATTTTACAACCCTTTATCAAGCATTTGTATCTGTTATCTTCTTTATCTTTCTGTCTCTTTTCTATCCTATGACTTTTAAGAGAAGTATTTTCTATGAGTTTATAATTAAAGGAGATAAAAGCTGCAAATGTTATAGAAATAACAATTCTGCCTTTTATGGTCTCTGCTATGACCAATAGGGATGAGTGCTCTAACTCCTTCCTGCTACTGCTTGCTTCCCTTCTTTTGGATCCCATCAAATACCCACTTTACCCCCCACCCCCAAGAACTCTCCATCATAAAACCTGAATTAGATAAGCTGAGTAGAAAGTGTCAATGATTCTATGCTTTTCTGTTTTAGATTATTGTATTAGCTAAAGTCATTATAGATGTGGACCACATTACTTTGTCTGCACGAGGTGTTACTATTTTAGTTGATAGTCTGTATTCAGTTCAGCCAACTACTCTTGTTTTGACAGGTAAGAAATGACTAGAACTAATTGTATTCACATAAAATTATTTTCAGATTTTTTTGTAATTTGAGCAATAATAAAACAATAAGCCTGAAACCATTTCATACAGTTTGATGAATGAACTCATGTTAGTCTAAATGGAACTCTAGAATAACTCTACATGGAACAATAGGCATCTATTCTGTACCCTGAATAGGAGGAGAGTAACTCTGAACATAAGACTTTTTGCCTTCCCAATTACTTTTCCAAATCCCTAAATATTTCCCCAGGATTTAAAATAAGAATTCAACTATGAGCTAACAACAATTTGTTTGTTTATTGTGGTGCAGGGATTGAACCAAGGACTTTGTGTAAATTAATCAAGTGTTCTACCACTGAGCTACATACCCAGACCTACAAACTCATTTATAATAGTATGATGAATTTATATTCATGTACCTCTATCTGGTTACCTATTGACCAGTTAAGCACATTTGTTAACATTTAAGCATTCTCTATATTGCTATGGAACACAGCAAACCAACATGGTCCAAAAGAGTTATTGCCACAATTTTAATTGTGTGACTGTATCTATTCCAATCCTAAATCCAATTTGCACACAACAGGTGATCAATATTTAATTGACCTAATACATCACTCTCAAGGCAACATAAAATAGTGTCAGAATGACAGTCAGTGACTAATAAAATAGAGTACTTTTAAAAACTAAAATGTATCACTGAGAGCAGCAAAGGAAACTCCATTTGCTATGCTATAGAATTGTATTTTTATGAAGTATATTTGCATGGAAGGGAAAAATTAAGCAAATAAAAACTTTCTTATGGAAACTAGCTAGGGAAACATGTTTAAAAGAAATTATTAAATATTTTTTTCATCTAAATAACCTTATTAACTCATTGTTATAGTAATTTTGTGACTGAAAAACAATCACAATTGGGTTAAAATTTTGTTCCACAAACTATTTTGTGCAAGAAATGTCATATTTCTGATGACTTTCAAATATTAATTTCCCTAGTCTGGGGAGAATTGAATCTCAAAAATTACTGAAACTTCTCTGCACTTTGCTACCAAAGTCACTTGCATCTCTAGAGTCATTTTCATAATTGTGGTATCTCAGAAAAAGCAGATATTCTGGCCTTGGGTATAGTGTGAAATAATTGACTGCTCAGTGTCCAAGTTGACAAGATTCCCAGAAGAGGCTCCAAAGGCATAAGACTGGGATTTCCATTGTCAACTGTCCAGTTGTGCCAGGTTCTGTGAGTCCCTCTTAGCTCTTTTTTTTTTTTTTTTTTTTTTTTTTTTTTTTTTTTGTGGTGCTGGGGATTGAACCCAGGGTCTTGTGTATACGAGGCAAGCACTCTACTAACTGGGCTATATCCTCAACCCGTCTTAGCCATTTTCAAAGTTCCTTCTCCTTCTCCTTTGAAAATTGCAAATCTAAGTTCTCTTAACTTTTAGATTCTCTACCCCCTCCATCTTTTTCCATTTTTTGTTCCCAAGCTTCAAAGACATCTTTTTAACTTTACAGACAGATTATTTTAAGACAGCTTTTGCTTTAGGCTATACAATCCAGCCTTCTCTATCCTGAGGCAATAAACACAGAGAATTCCTTGGCTAATAATGTAGGCCAGAAAAATACATTTCTCAATAAAGTATCTACCCACACAGGTAAAAATACATTTATATTTTAAACATTGCTGGTGGGATTGCAAATTGGTGCAACTACTATGAAAAGCAGTATGGAGATTCCTCAGAAAACTTGGAATGGAACCACCCTTTGACCCAATTATCCCATTCCAGGGTTTATACTCAAAGGACTTAAAATCAGCATACTACAGTGATGCAGCCACATCAATGTTTAGAGCAGCTCAATTCGTAATAGCTAAATTATGGAACCAACCTAGGTGTCCCTCAAGAGATGAATGGATAAAGAAAATGTGGTGTGTGTGTATGTGTGTGTGTGTGTGTGTGTGTGTGTGTTTGTGTGTGTGTGTGTTTTAATGGAATATTACTCAGCTTTAAAGAAAAATGAAGTTATGGCATTTGCTGGTAAATGGATGGAGTTGGAGAATATCATGCTAATTGAAATAAGCCAATCCAAAACAAAAACAAAAAGAAAGGCTCAAAATTTTCTCTAATATGTGGATACTAATTCACAATAAGGGATGGAGGCACTAGGGAAGAATAGAGTTTCTTTAGATTAAGTAGAGGGGAGTAAAAAAAAGGGAGGGGATATAGGGATAGGATGAATAGTAGATTGAAATAGACTATTTATTACTTTATGTATATATATGACTGCATGAACAATGTGATTCTACAACATGTACAATCAGAAAAATGGGAAATTACACCATATCTATGTATGATATATCAAAGTGCATAAATGCATTCTACTGTAATGTATAATTAAAACAAAAAAATTTAAAAATATAAAACACCAATATGAATGAAATAGTATTAAGTTGGTAGATACACATTTAATTATTGAATCACTTTATTCTTTTCAGTCCCCAAACATTTCTTTTTGTGGTAAGAACTTCAATTATTTTAAACTTCTATAAGAGATATACCACTTGATTTTTAAAATACAATTATACTCTTAAAGCTATTTGAACTGCAAAACTACATTAAATTATCTTATGTTAATTCATTCATTATGCTCATTCTTATTTAAAAGTAACACTCTAAAAACCTCAAAATAAAATATATCTTGAAGCCATGGAAGGAAGAAAACTTCTAATTTCAAAAAACAATCCCCCTTTTAACTATTTAACTATTACTTTTTGTGACAGAAAAATCAAACCATAATTTTAGGTAAATTTATTCCACATTTACTATATGCATGCTTTCCCTCACCATTTCTTTCTTTCTTTCTTTTTTTTTTTTTGCCTTAAGGAGCATTCCCTCACCATTTCTTAAGATGTCTTATGACTCAAACTTTTTTAATGTTATGTACAAATGTACAAAAGCACAGTTTATCATTTAAATGACACAAGTATTTTTTCTTGTTTAATTTATAGGAAACTTAATTGCTAGCCTGGCTCATTCTAGAGCTGGTATTCCAGAAGCATTTACTACATTAGGAACGATCCATCAACTCTGCTACCATTTGTACTCAGGAAGAGAAGAGGTAAAACAAAACAAACAAATACCACCCCCCAACTAATTATAAAACTAAATAAGCAAAATAAAATAATTTGCTCCTCTCTTTATTCTCCTCAGTTATATAATAAATATAGTTCATGTTACTAACTCAAAATTAGGTGAACTTTCTAGTACTAATTAGTCATATCTACCCTCCACAAAATTATACATTTGTTTTAACTTCAAGACTTAAATAGGATTTTAATTACAAACAGTATAATATAAACAACAATTAAAAATTTAAAAAGAAATACCTGTTCAAATTTGTAATTAAAATGTTTATAGCCGGGTGTGGTGGCACATGCCTGTCATCTGGCTCAGGAGGCTGAGGCAGGAGGATCAAAAGTTCAAAGCCAGCCTCAGCAATGGCAAGGTACTAAGCAACTCAGTGAGACCCTGTCTGTAAATAAAATACAAAATAGGGCTGGGGATATGGCTCAGTAGTTGAGTTCAATCCTCAGTACTCACCCCCCAAAAGTTTATCAAGTATCTCACAAAAAGTGGTTACCTTGTGATCTAAGACATTTCTCTGATTTGGAATGAATGAAAATGGAACCCAAAGGAGTTTTCCTTATCTGCTAAACAGGGTTAGAGGTGAGAAGATGTGAAATAGTCAATGCTGGCTGTAGCAGTGAATTGCCTCTGAGCGTGTGTGCCTACTGTTTTCCCCTAAGATCTAAAGTATTTCTCTAACTTTCAGGTGTATTAGAATCACCTGTGAGCCTGTAATTCCATAGATTGTTAGGCTCTACTTCCCAAATTCTTGATCAAATATATCTGAGATGGGTCCCAAACTTTGCATGTCTAATAAGTTCCCAGCAACTGAAGATGCTGGTCCAAAAACCACACACTGAAAACAGAACAAAAAGGAGTAGAAGATATGTGGGCATTTATATAGAGCAGCTTGATGCCAATGTGAAGACCAATAATGCCAACTTTCTGGTACCCCTAATAGGCCCGTTTTATATTAATTTTATGAAAATTTATAAAATATTTTATGCTACCAACTATTTAATTCCCTACTAACTCCCCAAGAATACATTTTAATTATCATATAAAAACCTAATTATTTCAGAGTCAAGGCAAAGGCTACTTCATTTAAAGTAAGGAAACTACTTCTTTTAGAGCTTGGTGGCCTAATACTTGTGCTTCCTTCTTTGTTCTTGTGAATGTAAAACTGTTTCCCTGAGTGTACATTTTTAGCCTATTTTCCTGGTTTCCAATGACAACCACCTGAGCAGTTTTGAAAAATCTTGAAGTGGAACTCAAAGTTACCCAGGTAAAGCTAACTATAGCACTGAGTTATTTTAAGAACAAAGCCTTTGGCTAATAAAGAATTGTTTCTTATTTATTTAGGTTCGAGCAGCTTGCTCCTGTGCTCTTGGCTACTTAACTTACAATGCAAATGCTTTTCGCATCCTATTAAATGAATGCAGGAATAAACCTAATCAGTTCCTTCGTATAACAAATAATATCAGCAGAGATGCAAGTATTAACCCAGTATTTTTAAAGGAATTTCAAATGAAACAAATGGTGGGACTTCCTTCTTTAAGGTATTGCGTCTATATTTGAAGTTGCAGTAGTAAAACTGATAGATTTTATTAAGTTTATCAACCTCAGGGAAATAGCCTCACATGAATATATCCTCTGTATGCTGAAGGATAAACTTCATTCTAAAGGTCCATTGCCAAAGCCTGATTTATTTACTTAGTTATTTATAATAGCACTGGAGATTGAATCCAGGGTCTTGTGCATGGTAGGCAAGTCCTTTACCACTGAGCTATATCCCTCACCCTATTTACTTATTTTTGACAGAGTCTTACTATTTTGCCCAGTCTGAACTGGGCAACTCCTAAACTCAGGGATCTACCTACCTCAGCCTCCTAAGCAGTTGGAATTAGAGATGCAGCTCAAAGCCTGTTTTAATTCCAGCTTAGTATTAGAGTCATGGGTACAGATAAGAATATCACCAGACCCTAGGGACCCTGAGTAGCCAGGAAATTTTACATTTTAGATAAGTTTTTGGGAGACTAGTCAACTCCATGTCTGATCAAAGCCATTTAAGTTTTTTTTTTTTAGTTGTAGATGGACACAATACCTTTATTTATTTATTTATTCATTTTTTGTGGTGTTGGGGTTTGAACCCAGTGCCTCATGCATGCTAGGCAAGCACTCTACTACTAAGCCACAACCCCAGCCCTCAAAGCCATTTTTGATCAGACTAGAGAGAGATTTGAGAGTTCTGAGCCACGCAAGACTAATACCATGGCCTTAGCTTCAGGCAGATCTTCTGAACTTGGCCAAAGCTAGTTTAAACTCCCAGGTTAGAAATGGGGTGATCAGATCCAGTAGCTAGAGTTATGATAAAGCTTACCAGGCATTTATTCAGAAAATTCTGTCTCAGTGTTGTAGTTTTGTTATGAACTTAAGCCTCTGAAAAAGCATGAGAAAGAATCTCTTTACTATGGGTATGTTTTCTTTTCTGGAGATGTAGTTAATTTTGAGTCTTTTCTACAAGTAGTCATATTCACATACAGGAAATATAACTACTCAATATATAGTATTAACTCTGTGATACAGAGAATAGAATTCAATAGTGTATTATGGTTATATACATCAATTTTAAGTATATAGAAAAATGAGAGAATCATTTTAATTCTTTGAAAAAGTGAACGTCTGCTAGGCATGGTGTTACACAACTGTAATCCCAGAAACTTGGGAGGCTGAGGCAGGAGGATTACAAAATCACAGCCAGCCTCAGCCATTTAGCAAGGCCCTAAGCAACTTAGTCCTGTCGTAAAATAAATAAATAAATAAATAAAAAGGGCTATGAATGTGGCTCAGTGGTTAAACACCCCTGGGTTGGCTCCCTGGCACCAAAAAACAAAACAAAACAAACAAATAAATAATAAAAAACCTGAAAATCCAACACTTATTGCCTCATTTTATATAAGAAACCAGAATATCTAAATTTTAATTGCTATAAATAACAATGTTAAACATTTCCATTGATTCAAAAATTTAATTTAATTTAGGATAAACAGTGTAAGTAGTATTTTCAGTCATTCCCCCAGTTAACCTAAATAACAACTTTGTGGAATAGGAAAAATGCAACCCTTTCTTGGATCTGTTTTCTTCAAAATCCAGTTGCAGTGTCTCTTCTTCCCATTACTTCATGCAGATTAAATGACTCAGTTGTTTGAAGTGTGTAAATTAGTGACAGAATACAAAATACCTACAGATAATATGCATAATTTTATGTATGTTAATTAACATATATGAAAAGAGGCCATTAGTCATTGAACATGATATATGGAATAAATCTTCATATATTTCTTCATGTTTTTCGGGTTACACTAATGTCTTCATTTATTTTATTATCTGATTAAAATTTTTCCCTTTTTAGTCTGGAGAGGAATGGAGGACCGTCCATAATTCCTGTCTTTAAAAAAGGTAATTTATTTTTTATTTTATTTCTGAGATATCTTCTAGACCTGGCATATTATAATTCTGTCCATCCCTCCCTAAAAATCTGAAATGCAGAGACAACCAAAAAAAAAAAAAGGTATCTGTAAACTTCTCTTTTGTAATTCTATATACCTAAAATACCTTTTTATTTATAAGCCCATGTTAATCATTTATTTTAAGGACTTCTGTAATATCACTTGCCAGAAATTCCTCTCTTTGTTTTTTTCCACAAGCTAAACATAAAGAAAATTCATTATTTAAACAACATGTATGTATGGTTTAAATAATGATCTTGCCATTGTTCTACTTCATGTACAGTGTATCTGTCTATAAATTTTTAGAGCAGAGACATGTTTCCTATTGATACACTATTTGTTTTGTATATAGTTGGTAGATGACAGTTGAGGGCTTGGGTCTGAGGAAATAAGAGTCTAGATCTTATATTACACACTTCTTCCAATTAGACATTTAACAGGTAATATAAATTACTTAATAGTTTCATGTATATGCTTGTTCATCACTGCTTAGTGTAGGACCAAAGTCAATATTACTTAATATATGTCCTAGTCCGATAGTTGTTATCAAGAATATAATCATTCAGAAGTGAAGATAAGTTTTCTGGAGTCAGAAAAAAAAAGGAGAGAAGAGAATAGGGAGAGATAATGAAGAGAGGAGGAACTTCATTTATTCAGGGAGTATGTGAGGGAGGCTACATATGTGTGGAGGTCTATTTCTGAGTATCATGGCCATACAGAAAAGTATCTCTCTCTCTCTCTCTCTTTTTTTTTTATAGCTTCTTTAGTCTAAGAGTAATTTACACAAAAGAATAAAGTCAATCTTACTCTTTCTTCATTTTAATTCTGGTTTCTAAACAACAAACTGTACATCTGTACTAGTAATGGTCTGATGAAGTTTTTGCAGTTGTGGTAATGTGAGAAAAAATAAGGACAACAGGGAGTTTCTGATAAAATTAATTTCATTCAATGTGATGTCTGTTATTTTAAGATAAGCCTTTTATACTTTTTTGGTGTTAAAATATCCTTCATAAGATGATATTTTAAGTTGTTGGCACATGTTCCTTTAGTGCCAACATGGCATAATAAAAAGTTGGTAACCACATATTGGTCCCTATAAATTTTTGGTCTCTGAAATTTAAAAGTCTGGAAGCCAGTGATCTGTTCTCTCAGTATGTTTAATTTATGTAAAGAAATAGAACTACTTAGAGGTGGAGTAATGAGACTATACTTAGGGCCCTTAGGCCTAAGAGATATTTAACTGTGGCCTTCTAATTTTTTAGGGAAAGAACACCGAAGAAAAGCAAAACCTAAAATTCAACCAAAAGATTCTTTGACTTTAATACCTCCTGTAACTAACTTCATGGGACTCTTCAAAAAAGCAAAACAGACCACTGTTTCCCATAATGTTTTTTCTTTTTCATCTGCAATTTCATCAGATATCATAAATGTATCAAGACCAAGAATAGCGTGTTTGAACCAACTTGGGAAACATGAACAGAAAGCCAACCCAGAGAATGCAGAAGGCTAATAAAAAAGAAATGAGTATGAAAGGATTCCTGAGAAATTAAAAATTTTTAAAAGTATGATAAAATATACATAGTTATCTTTCCTTTTTTGTTTAAAGAATTTAACCTTTATTTTATGTACTTGTTTATTTTTGTTTATTTGTTTTTATGTGGTGCTGAGGATCAAACCCAGGACCTCACCTGTCCTAGGCAAGTACTCCACCACTGAGCTACAACCCTAACCCCAGCTGGGTAATCTTTTTGAATGGAAGTTCTTGATATTACAAAGATTTTCTTTACCAGTAGATATGGGGTAAGAATTTCTGCAGTAGACTGCCTAAGATTTATCAACTGATATAGGTTGAATTGGTATGCCGAGTTAAAGAGGCCTGACTCAAAGCAGCCCTCATGAAAACACTCATTTTAATACCTTAAGATATTTAATGAAAATAAATTACAAATGTGATGCTTTAAAATGTATCCTTTAAAAATATTTCATTTAAAAGTAAAAACTGATATAATTTCTCATCAAATATACAAGTGTGGTTAAAAAATACAGCAACCAGTGTTGACCATTCTCCATATTTATAGAGAATGCCTTTGTTTTGCAGATATAAAGGATGATTTCTTTTTGGCTTAGAACCAAACAATGCTTTTGCTCAAAAGCACTTTTGAATAGGTGCAGTTTTGATATACATTTGCTACTTCTATTTTACAACTACAGATAGTTGGGCTTCACTGTGTTCTTTAATGTGCCTCCTCCCCTTTATTCCATCCATTTCACTCAATAGCCCCCATACAGTTTAAGGGTCTTGCTATAATCCAGTCTCTTCCTGGGCTGCACTAGGCATTCAAAAAATATATTAATGAGTAGTTATTTTCTATAACATGCCTTAACAACAATGATGGTGATTATGGAAGCTATATGGATTTCAGGCTTTCTTAGACTCCAAAGTCTGTGTTCTTAATTATTACAAACTAAGAAACCTCTTAAATATTTCAAATTCAATTCTAAATTATGTTAACTGATATGAGTTGAAACATTCTGGTAGATGGACTAAAACAGGAAATGCATAGGGCAGAAATGGTATGTTTTAAGCTAGAAAGGATAAATAAATCTAAATGATAAGAAAGTGTTATTTACTAGGTACTGATAAGGATAAGAATTCATATCAATGGAAGTATTATAGAAGCCAGGATCATTTCCAGTAAAAGTCAAAAATAGTTTCTGCTATCCTGACTGAGAAAAAGGGGAAAAGCACTAGGTTGTATGATATGGGTACAGGATTCAATAGAATCACTATATGTCTTCCAAGGTTTTGTTTTCTACCTGTCAACATCTATGCAACCTTTCCCCATAAGATGTTTTACTTTGATTCTTGCTAATGAAAAAGCCACACTCCTAAGGCTATAACACATTATTATTATTTTATCAGAAGAGCATACATAACAGAAGGAAGTCTTGATGATTAAGTAATATATTTATAAAATTTGATACCCAAAGGGAACTTAATTTGAATCCTGAAATACTACCTGTGGAGACTTTTTTGAAAAGCAAACATCAAATCTTCATTTTAAGTCGTGGTACTTTGATGGCAGCTTCTGCAACTTCTTTTGATATATCTACTCCAAGAGGACATCTGCATCATAATCAAATAAACCGTATTATTTCAAACACTTTCTTGATGTTCCATTGCTAGTTTTGCACACTATTTGCTTTAGAATTCTGCAAAGTAGGGGAACTATTTAACGTGTAATTCATCATATATGGTGATGCTTCTTACAAATACAACAGAATCTTAAGCTAGGATAATGAAGGTCATTTCACTAAGAAATCTAAATTCTGAGATGTTTTTGAAAGAGTTCTGTTGTTCTCCATTACTCTAAATTAGAAAGTTAAAAACAAATGAAATATAAATATAACAAAAGTTGCCTTATAATTTTTAACAAAGCTAAAAAGATAAAAATAGTTTATCACATAAAGTCAAACATGCATTTATTTACATTTTAAATTCCCCAGGTTTCAGAAGTTGTCTTACCCCTTTTCAACCTTCCTTTGCTGCTACTGGCTGGAGAGGTCTTAGCTCCTATGTCTTTTTTGATTTCTGCTCTATAAATAATTTTAGCTTCAGGTTTTAATCCAAGATAAGGCCGTGGCCTGGAAAAAGCCATCATCTCCAGTCTCAACACTGCCACAATAGGGCACAACCAGATCAGTGGACAAAACATATCTGAGGTTTAGTTATTGGCATAAGGGATTCTGACACTGCTAATCCAACTCAGTTTGTTCACCATGAGAATTAATAGTCTATGGTTCATGCAGCATAACTGTCTAGTGATGGACCATAATGCTGACAATATTTGAAACACTGAATGAAAGTCTTCAAGTTATAATTGTCAGATTATGAAACACAATTATGCTTTACCATTCTAGATCTAACTTAGATCAGAACTTGAGAGCAAATTTTAAAAACTGTGTTATTACTAGAACTTTGATTTGGGAGAGGAAATAGGCTTGCAGTAAATAGTTATCTTTTGGCTGCTTCCCAGTTACTCTGTTAAGAACATAATCACAACTCCATCTACACCTGAATGCTTTCTGCTTGTTTTGTTTCCCAGCATACCAGTTGGTCCAGAAAGCCTCTAGACATCGCAAAAGTCCAAATTATGGACCTGGTTTCCATTCTGGTCCCAAGTAAGGAAATGCATCATTTCTACACATGTCCAAATTCTAACTCACCTATGATTTACCAAAATTTTTCTAATTTAATTCTGTAGCAAAATAAACTTCTTAAAATGTGTTAACCTCAATGAGGTTCATTGAAAAAAAAAACTGATATAACTGTCAAGTACCACCAAAATATTAATAAAAACTTTATATATAAAAGCCAAAACCATTCTTTGGTTTGTATAATTTACCTTACATAAATAATATAAACTAGGGCTAGGGATATACCTCAGTTGGTACCGTGCTTGCCTCACATGCACAAGCCCCTGTGTTCAATCCTCAGCACCGCAAAAAAAAAAAAAAAAAAACCATAAACTATACCACATACTTTGGTTCGTAGCGGATGCCTTCTATGTTGTCTAAAATGCCCAAGCCAGCACGTAATCTTTCGATACCATTCCTAAATAAGAACCATTAAAATAAAATTAATAGCCTCAAGATTTAAAGGAAGATTTAGTATGATGAAATGGTTAATTAGTATACTTATGAGTGAAGCTCATATATCCTATGGCTTACCATGCAATCATAATGCCATTATCAGTGCATAGTCTTGGGGGAGGACACAACAAAGTGCATTGTGTTGCATTTGTTACAATTTCCAGAGCTCTCCGTATATACAAGTTACTTGCAACACCTCCAGATACAACCTAAAGGAATTGATAAGACCCAATGAACTCCTATCACATATGAACCAAGTCATTTATTAAAACTGGGGAAATGGCAGCATTACTATAAGGTGAAATGACAAAACTTACTAGTACTGCATTACTTTGAGATAGCAAGTCTCTCTGCTTGCAAAACAGAATAGCACGATGTGTTCTTTTTGCAATGTGGCATGCAGTTGTATGCTGTACTGCAGCAGCAATGTCTGCAGCTGAAGACAGGATTTGCCCCTTCTCAATTCCTGCAGAAATGAGCAGGTATTTTTAGGCTCCATTGAGAAATATTTATTTGTCCAACCTTACTAATTAGAAATATACCTTCCTCTTTCTCCTTTTGCATTATTATTTTATCGATAACATGTTGAAGCCCAGTAAAAGAAAAATCACAATTTTTAGCACGCTGCATGGGTGGATTCATATCAAAATGAAATCTGTTTCCTTGTTTGGCCAAATGTTCTATAGCCTTCCCACCACTCATGGTGGAGCATTCTGGATGTTTGATTAAAGAGAGTCTTCTTGCTACCTATCAAAAACAAAAACATATTTTTAATGAGTTGTAAATTAAATATTTTGAAACCAAAGGTACAAAGGAAATGAATTGAAAAACGTAAAATGCTGAATAAAATATGCTATACGTCTACAAATATGGACTACAGCTGATGTTCAGTAAAGCAAACCACCCAGTTCCTTTAGAAAACCTGATCTGTAGTGGCCTATCATTGCCCTGCTACTTTTGCTCTTATATTGGGTTTAGAAAATGAGTTTGAAGTTGACACCAACTGCTTAATGATGAACTTCAAATAAGAACTTGTCCTTTCTATCATTTCAGCTGTTGGCAGCAGTTTGTTTGTTTTTCACATGGCCATAGACTTTGTAGTATTTTAAAAAGGAAAAGAAAAATCTGTGGTTTCAGGAATTGGGCAATTTAATCATAGAAATTTGTGCATCTTGATGTCCTTAGGTTAATCTTTATGTATTTTGCATTTTGTGGTATATTACAGTTTACAAAGCACTTTTCATATACAGTATTTGGATAAATATAAAATTTCAGCTGCAAATTATTTGAGCCTTTATGTATTGGATGTAAAACCATTTTATTAGGAATGGGTAAGAAAGAATTACAAAATTATTTACTACTTTTTTTTCTTACTATACATAATTTTTTCAGTCTATTTAAGATATTGAGAAATACTTAAGTGAATGGTAGTAGCATATCTATTGCTATTTAATTGAAACAGCATGGAGGGTGCTGGGTGGAGGGTGCTGGGGATGTATCTGTGATAAAGCACCTAGCTTGCATGAGGTGCTGGGTTTAATCCACATCATAGCAAAAAAAAAAAAAAAAGAGTGAAATTGTTCTTAAATAATTACCTTGTCAAGCATGTCACCTGGTGCAATGTCCAAAGACTTTCCAAGAAGCAGAAAATCTGAAACTCCTCGAACTAATGCCAAGAGACAGTGACCTCCAGAAATCAAAAGAACTAAAAATGGAAACTCTACTTTATTGGTCAACCTAATAGTAAGTGCGTGAGCTTCCATATGATGAATGGGGATGAATGGCTTTTTCAACTGGTCTACCAGCTGTAAACTAAATGATAAGCCTACTCCTAAGCTTAAAGCAAGTCCTGGCTTTATGGTAGTTGCAATCGCTGAGAGTTCACTTGGACATATTCCACTGGCACAAAGAGCTTCTTGTACTATTCGTTGAATGTTTTCTCTATGAAGTTGTTGAGCTACTGGAGGAATAATCCCACCTGTTCTGAAACAAACAAAAGAACAGCTTATTATAATTTTATGATTGTATAATAAAGAAAGAAAAATTATGTTACAGCTGAATGCATGATTTCAAATTAATCATTACGTAACTGAAAACATTAGGATTTTCAAATTGTGTGGTCTATAATGCTGCAACTATGATAAGAACTAAACATGATGTTATGAATTCAGTATGAAGGGATGCTTCTGATTTTCCAAACTGGTGCACAGAACTCCCATAGATTTGCTTGTTAATGAATGAAATCACCAAAACAATCTTAGAAAGCATTCTAAAGAAGTCTTGAATAAGGGAAGGACAGGATAAAATTATATTTTAGGAAAACAAATTTCCTTGAACATAAAGAGAATTTTAAAGAGATCATCACAAAAAGTATTTGGATTAAAAGGCTGGGAGTATAGCTCAGTGGTAAAGCATGTGCATAGCATGTGCACAGCCCTGGGTTTGATCCCCAGCACTGAAGAGGAAAACAAAAATCATTTGTGTAAAGTGATTATATCTTAAACTGGGTGATTGTGGTAATGGAAAGAAAGGGATGGAAAGCCTTCAAATCTGTAATAGTAACTAATAACTAACATAAGGGTATGGAGGACCAAGTCATCAAAGATGATTCAGATATTTGGCTGGAAGGACTGGAAGAAAAGAAATACTAACACTGAGGAACATGATGGAAATTTTGTGAAGATGAGTTTATTTTTAAAAAGACTGCTCTTGAGGTTACAGCAGGATAGCAGATAGCTTGCAATCCTAAAAGTTTGGGAATCCAGTTCTCAAGAGTTGGTAATTAAGATTTTTGGTTCATGTAGGATAGTGTAATGTGAAGAGTAAAGAATTACAAAGCAAATTTTCTAGCAATGATTATGCAAGCATAAGACTGATTTTTACAATCTGAGAAATAGTACAATAAAATATAGAGTCTGAAAACATACCTCTACTCTAAAAAGAAAATCATCTTCAAACATCTGATGTTGCGGGTGGGAAGGACAGTGGAATGAGATGGACATTATTACCCTATATACATGTATGACTATACTACCAGTGTGACTCTGCACCATGTACAGTTAGAGGAATGAGAAGTTGTGTTCCATTTGTGTATAATATGTCAAAATGCATTCTACTGCCATGTATAACTAATTAGAACAAATTTTAAAAATTGGATGTTGCAAGACCTGATACTTCTACACACAGAAATGCAAATTATCAGTAGAATATTCAATTAACATTTACTTAATAGTTAAAATACATACAAAAAGAAATTATCTTATTTCAATACATTCTTATATTCCTTAATTGTTCAAAGATAACGTTTTATTTTAAGAAAAGAAAAATGTTCAAAAAGATTCAAAAATTTAGTACACTCAGTAGAAACTGAAAAGACTGTGGTAATTACAGTTACCATCTGCACCACTTGTTTGATACTCACTTGATGCTGCCTTGCTCTGCTAGATCTCCTTATAGTCTATGCATTATGTCTCTGATTAGATTCAGCTTTTTGAAGGGAAGAAATTTTAAGTATTTCATTGTCATGTAGTCCCTTTCATATAGTATGTTACCATTTAAGGGTTACTCTGTCTCTTTACGTAAATTATTTCTAATCTCAACAGAATCAGAGAGGATAATAAATTTGCCTTAAGTCACAAATCCTAAATGCCTAATTTAGGATTCAATACCAGTCTGTGATTCCAAAATACCAGCCCTTTTCACTAATCAGATGTTCTAAATTAATGACTTGGAGGCATATTTTAACATGTTTTGAATTAGCCAATAATTTTTTAAAATCTGGAGCTATTACATTAAAAATACGGATTTTTTTACTTTCTCTTAAAAATTTTGATAATGATATAGGTCTTATAGTCCTGCCTGGAAACAATTGGGTAGAGCTGAGCAGTGACCTTCTCCAGATAATTTATCCTTTATATCTAGCCCACTTATTTATATAACCTGTCTAGAGGTCCTTGCAAACATCTGAGTTTATAAACCTTGCACTATTTTAAGATTTAATAAAACATTGCATCATTATTTATTTAAGTAACAACATAAGTTGTATAAATGTGAATAGGATTTTATTTTTCAGGGATTAATATGGGGTAGAGGTCGGGTAATGAGTTAAGAACATAAAACATACATGTTGAAGAAAGAAAAGGCATTGTTGAGAGAAAATCATTGACTAATACTAGAGCTGGTAAAGAGCTTAGTTCCTTTTTGGCAACAGGATTAGCTAAGGTTGGAAATTTAACTGTAGACAGTCATAAAAGCCAGGGTCAGATGTTTGAGGTTTTTCTATAGTAATTATTATAGGCTTTAACACAAAGGAATATGAACTTGGCTCCTAAAATTTAACTTTTATACATAATAAATACAAAAGAATGGTTCCATTTTTTTAAATTAAATTTTTTTTAGATGTTGATGAACCTTTATTTTATTCATTTATTTATATGTGGTGCTGAGAATCAAACCCAGTGCCTCACACATGCCAGGCAAATGCTCCACCACTGAGCCAGAACCCTAATCCTCTTTTTAAAAAGAGGTATTGGGGATTGAACCCAGGGGCACTTTACCACAGAGTTAAATCTCCAATCCTTTTGTAAAATTTTTTATTTTGAAATAAAATATATTTTATTTATAGGCATGAGGTGCCAAGCCCAGCTCATTTTACTTTTCCTAAAAAGGTAGGGATAACAAAGATATAGTCTACTTACTTTAAATGAACTTCAGTTTGGGAATGTATTGCTTCTCCCAACACATTTCCAGTTTCATCTACCACTGCAGCTGCTGTATCATCACAGCTTGTTTCAATACCCAATACTATTTTATGAAGAAATAGTGTTCCAGGATGAAAATTAAAACTTCTTAAAAATCCATCAACTTTCCTTTTGGATGGTTTAAAAAAAACTTGCACTGTCTTATTCAATATTAGCATTATTACTAGTATATAGATAATTCCTGGAAAATAATTATAAAAACAAACATTACTTGGAATTAACATTAGCAATTAACCCACTCACTTAAAATAATATGTGTGACTTATTTTTCAATACATACTTTTTTAGAACTATAAGAAACTCTGCAAGAGTTACCAAAATTTTATAAAAGTCCCAGCAACCTGTCGATGTAAATAAAAGTATTAATGAGTATGAGGTTTTTCAAGAGGGAAAGAGAAATCAGATAAAACATTCTGTAATATTAAAGGTTGAGGATCCCTAATTTAAAAATCTGAAACACTCCAAAAACTGAAATTTTTTGAGTACTGATATGATGACAGAAGTGAAAAATTTCACACCTGACTCCATGAATTATATCAGTCAAAACAGGTACATTAAAATATTATATAAAAATTAACTTCCAGCAATAAGTATAAAGTAAGGTATATTTGAAATATACTTGAATTCATTTTAGACTAGGATCCCATTCCCAAGATATCTCATATATATACTAATATTCCAAAATCATCACCCCACCCCAAAAAACAAAACAAAAAAAAGTCTGAAATTTGAGACACTGCTGCTCTCAAGCATTTTGGATAAGTGGATAAGGATACTCAACTTGTAATATTGTTTTCATGCCATTCTTACCAATCTATTCGTTATTCTTTACAAAACAACTAATATTAATTACATGGATATTTCTCTAAAAACTGCTATTTTTTCATAGTTAAAACCAAGATAAAATGTTTCTTTTTTTATATCAAACAACAAATGCAAATAGAAGAGATAAAAATAAATGCATCCTATATCCTGGAAACATTTCTCAAAATAAAATTTAATCATTTGGTTTTAAAACAAAAGTTCATGTAAGACACACATATGCACACCCATCAAGATGCAATCTTGTAGTTTAGAAATAAGTCTTTTCATGAAGTTCATTCTAAAGAAACATATCTAAACTAAAATAGTGCAACCCAACACATATTTTATCCTTAATTACAATCTTAGGAATTAAATCTCCTTTTTTTGCCACCAGGTTTATCATTACAAGTTTCTTCTCAACTCGTTTTTCTCCCACAAATTAATAATCCATCATTAAAGCACCCTAGTATTTTCTTACTGCAAAGTAGGTCCTTTCCCTATCACACGAATGGACACAATTAGGGGTTTAAAAAGGCAGCGAATAGTATCGAAACTTGACAGAGAACATCCAGAGATTACAGATGAGCGACCTAGTCACAAAGGGCAGCTCAAGGAATGAGGCCCAGACAGAGAAATAGATTTGCAGTAACTCAATCCGGGAAGGGCAGATTGTGAAAAGTACTTGCCTTTCAGAGCAAGAACGCTGCTGAGTGACCGGGTGACTAGGATGGCAATGGGCTCTCTGCTCTAAGAAAAAGGGTAGGGGGCTGCTCTAAGTTAAGGGGGAAACCTCTTCTCCAGTTGCACGAAACCATAGTGGGGCGAAAGGTTAGCAATTCCACCCTCCTCCCTCCCGAACCTCAGTACCTAGCACCCGTCTCCTTTCCCTAGCAAAACCGGCAGACTGCCTCTCTCCGGCACAATCAAGCCGGAGACTGGCGCCCCGGAAGTGATGTCATCAGCACCGTGTAGGCGTCCCTCGTCCTGCCCTGGTTGCTGTAGCCCTAGAAAGCCGCGTTACTGCTGTTTCTTTTTAAATTTTTATTCTTATTTGTTATATATGACAGCAGAATGCATTACAACTCATATTACACATATAAAGCACAATTTTTCATATGGAAACTGGCGCTGTTAGCAAGAGAAGTTCAATGTCCGATTTTGCCCCGGACTCCGTTTGTGCACTGGTGCATTTCTTCCAGATTGGTAGGTAACCAGACTTCTGTAAGGTCACATAGCTAGTGACTGAGCCAGAGGAAGCCGAATGCAGACTTGTCTGACTACAGAGCATTAAGTTTAACATTGCGCTACATTCCTAAACAAGTTTGTGTGTGCTTTTGACTGGAATTTGGTTGCCACTGTGAGAAAAGGATGAAGTAGATTATTTGTCATTCCATTTTTAGGGGAACTACTACCAAGCCAGAATGTGGTGGCCCGAAATACTTAATACCGTACTTATCACAGAAAAGTTGTAAACTAGAAATGCCCACAAGAGTTTGCCAAGAGTTCCCAGAGAACGGACGTGCTTCTGGTCGGACAGTCTAAACCGTTACTCCCAATTCTTCACTAAGAGTAAAAAGATCTTGGTTTATTTTTGTAATCTTAAAGTAAATGGCCGTTGTAAATATTTTTAAAATAATACTTTTCATATTGCATTATGTAGTCCCTGCTTACTGTGTAAGCAATCTCCAGCATGGAATGTATTCATATCCTTTTTTCTTAGTTCGTGAACTTGTTGCCATTTGTTTAAATAAATACATTCCAAGAATTTTTTCTCTCCCCTCGCAAGGCTTTAAGGTTTTAGTAAATAAGGGCCTTATAGTGCAATGCAGTGTATGTGTGTGTATTTGTCTCTTACATAGTGTTGAGTGCTGAGTATAAAGGATTGGTGAAGTATGTGGAGAAGTCACAGAGAACACTCTAGGGGTAAATACAAATAAGTAAATGCATAATTACCACAATACTGTTGAGATTGTTTTTGGTTCGAAATTAACGTTTTTCCAAACTTTCATTTATGTGAAAATATAACAGTAAAGTATCATTTATTATGTACCCAGCACTGTGGTAAATTAATTTATTTAATCTTTACAGCAACCCCCAAAGGTAGTTACTGTCTTCATCTTAGGTGCAACTGGGCCACAGGGTTTAGATGATTTGTAAACCACACAGCTAGTAACTGCAAGTTAGGATTAGAAGTCAGCCCATATGGCTCTGGATCCAATTTTCTTAATTGCCAGAAGAACTCATATTTTCTTTAGGGTGCATTGTTAACACACACTACCAAATAAAAGGATAAAAGAAGAATTAAGACCTGAAGATTAAGAAAAATTAGTCATCCTGTTTGATTATATGATAGAAGTTACTTCTGTTATATAGTGGAATCTAGTCTGAACATGAAACCTTTCATAGCTGGTATTATTTTTCTTACAATTGAAATTACATTCAGTAGGTATCTCCCAGAGGTCTCCTGTGCTGTCAAGAGTTATCCTTTTGTGTATGTTAACATATCATTTAGCTGATTCCTGGTCTAAACACTCCTGACAGTATAAAATCTCTATGCTGCACTATGTGGAATAGCAGAACTCTAGAGCACATATTTAGGAAGTGAGGGAATACATCCTCATTTTTTCTACCATACTGGAGAGGGTTTTTTTAAAATTTTGTTTTATCTTTTGTGTGGCTGGGGATTGAACCCAGGGCCTACATGTATTTGAGGCAAGCACTCTACCAGCTGAGCTATATTCCCAGCCCAGGAGAGGGCTATTGAGGGAAAGGCAAGTATGTATGTTGTCTGGAATTTCATGCAGATATCATATCGTTAGAATGCCACCTTTGTAACTTCAGAGTTACAACTGAATCTAAATACTCCCACTTTGTCCAATTTACCACTTGTAATCCTTAGAGAAAAATTATATCTGATTTTTTTTGGTGATTCTGGAGATTGAACCCTAGGCCTTAAATCCCTAGGCAAGTGTTCTACCACTGAGCTACAACCCCAGCCAATAATAATAATAATAATAATAATAATAATAATAATAATAACAACACAACAATCATCATAATAATTGTATTTTATAATACTTATTTCCTAATTATATCTTCCTAAGTTGGATTTTTTTTTTTTTTGAGACAGGATTGATATGTTGCCCAGGATTGATATGTACTAAATTCCTGGGCTCAGCCTCCCATTGCATCTGGCTGGATCTTTCATCACGTATTTTTTTTTTCTTTGTGCTAAGAACTTTATTAGTTGTTAGAACTAAAGAGATAAAATCCATTCCCCTCCTTAAGGATTTCAGTCTAGTGGCAAAAGACAGATAATAGGCAATACAGAATTATGGATGTAGAAATGGAAAGTGTACACTGAGAGGCGTGGCTTGGAGAAGGCCTAGTAACCTGCCACAGATGTATCCAGTGGCCTGGCAGGAGCATGGTGATTACTTGGTTTCAATATCTTGATTCTTTAAATAGGCTTGAAATTGCCTTATCAGGTCTGGAAGTGATTGGACTCTGGGGTACTGAATTACACATCAAAGGTTGCTAAGAAATTGTTGGGTAAAAAGCATTAATGCTAATGTATTGTGAGAAATGCAGCGAAGGGGAGCTAGAATAGTTGAGGTTCCTGATCATCATCTTTGTGTTGACCAAATTACAATTAAAGCTAAATCCAAATCATAATCAGAGGATTTCTTGTTAAATACAAAATGGAAATGAGTTTGGTGCTTTTAATGACTAATAGTTCTACGCCTGAGTCAAATCCTTCCCACTGAGTCACGTAACTGCCTTATTTTTTGTGGTACTGGGGATCAAACCCAGGACCTTGCACATGCTAGGCAAGTGCTATACCACTGAATAACATCCTCAGCCTGTTCTTATTTTGTGGTAAATTGTTCAGGCTGACTTCAATCCTTCTGCTTCAGTCTCCGGAGTAGCTGGGATTACGTGTGTAAACCATTATGTCGTTTGTCTTACATCCTTTGTTCATTGGATTGTGCTGAAAATATGCTGTTTGCCTTTCTCCTGGTGATACTTTAAAAATTTTCTTTTTATTAGTGGTGATACTGTCAGGTCTGCTATCTGGAATATATTTTGCTTTTTATGTTTGCTAAGCCATTTTGCTTATTTTACAACCTAACTTTCAGATTGTCTTTTTTATGATATACGTATTTATAATTTTAAGTGTACAGTTAAGTGGCATTAGATGCAGTCACATTTTTCTGCAATCCTCCAATCTTTTTCATCTCTCAAACTGTAATTATATACCCATTCAAAAACTGCCCTTTTCCCTCCTTCCATAACCCCTGGCAACTTCCATTCTACTGTCTTTAGGATTTGATTACTCTAACTACTTCATGTAAGTGGGATCATACGACATTTGTTCTCATGTCTGGCTTATTTCACATATCTTAAAGTTTTATTCATTTCTAATTTGTATAAAAATTTCCTTCTTTTTTAAGGCTAAATTCTATTATGTATATATTCCACATTTTATCCATCTGTTGGTGGGGCACTTGAGTTGCTGCCACCATTTGGCTATTGTGAAAAATGTCACTGTGAACATGGGTGTACAAATATCTGTTCCAAGTTTTTGCTTTCACTTTTTTGTATATACTCAAAATGGCTGGATCATATGGTAATTTTGATTTTTGAGGAGTCTCCATACTCAGATGATCTTAGTGTACAGGGTCTAAGTGTGGTTTCAGTAGGGAAGAGAGAGGGTGAATCTCTTTGTTGTTCCCCTATACACTCTGATTGTTAAATGTCATGATAAGTCATTAGAGAAGCATATGGTTTGAGTAGAATTCATAGAACAAATGTTTCAAAGGATCACTGTATTTTATCAGGCAATAGACAATAAATCAGTTAACTTTTGAGTTCACATTTAAAAAATGATAAAAATGAAAAAATAATGCATATTTATCTAGATAATATGATCAACCTAAATATATATTAGTTGAAAAATGTGGAAATTTTTCCAAATAAGACTATAAATAAAAATTTATAATTGTATAATGGGGAAGTCAGAAAAAATCCTTTCATATTTTGTATTTTAAAAAGAGCTCATTCTGGGTTGGGGTTGTGGCTCAGTGGTAGAGTGCTTGCCTCACATGTGTGAGACACTGGGTTTGATTCTCAGCATTGCATATAAGTAAATGCATAAAATAAAAAGTTCTATCAAGAACTAAAAAAAAAATTTAAAAGCTCATTCTATAGTGTTAATGAATTTGGTTTGTTCCTTTACTGTACTTCTTATATTTGAGATTATCTTTGTAAACATATACAAAGATATGTAGAGTGAAAGGACACAATGATAAACTTGGTGTTATCTACTAAGTATAAAATTATACAGAACTTAAGAGCTATAGGTGAATCACTTCCATTATCATTATTTATCAAGGGTTTGAATAACAAATCATGATATGGAGTTTGATTCAAACTTCTTGTTTTATTTATATTTTTATTAAACCTTTTTCTAACTATATTTTGGAGTATGGAAAAGTTCTGAGAATAAGATAAAAAAGTTCTGTGAGCCCAATACCCAATTAAGGTAGATAAAATGTCACCTAATGCAGTTGAAGCAGTATGTGCATACACACCCAAGATATTCTGAATTTTGTTTGTGAATTCATTTTTTAGCTAAATGAGAAATTTTAAACACACACACACACACAAACTACTTGCTTAATCATTTTTAATTAGAACTGAAATTAGGAAATAAAAACCCGCAAAGTGTCACAATTTTTCTTTTTGACACCAGGCTATTCTTATTTCCCCCTTCCCTGTCCAGCACTACTCTAAACTTTTTAGGATATTTTACCTAGGCCTCTCTAATATTCCCCACACCGGGTACTGTCCGTGTTACCGTTTTGTGAACTACTCTTTTCTATACTGTTAGACTTTTATACTGACTGACTGGGTTGTTGTCTTCATGAATACCAGGTTTATTTATTTATTTATTTTTTGGGTTAAATTTCCTGGTTTACTAAATTGACTTCATAAGCATTTGAAGGTAAAACCTTCATTAATAGCACTATATGCTGAAGATGTGAGATTTTAGTGACTATTAAAGTGAATCAATGATATCTG